CTTGTCTAGCTAGCTGTCTTCCCCTGGCAGTTCTGTCTCTGTCTCCAGAGTCCTGAGAGTGCGGTAGCCCTCGTGGCCAAGAGGCTTTTATGTGGGTTCTAATCATTAAGTCTTGCTGGGTCTGTTTCATTCATTCAAAATATAACTGGAGTGAGTACCACTTCTGCACAAGTCTGGTCTCTGAAGTTGTTGTCAGTGAGCAAGATAGCTCTAGTCCCTGCTCTCCTGCAGATTACAGTGGAGATGAGAAGCAGCTCTTCATGCATTTAATTCAGTAAATATTTACTGAGTGCCTGTTTTCCGGGTCCTGCTTGCCTAGCAACTAAAGGTAATAATGGAAATTGTTTAATTATATAATTGTTTACGCCTAATCTTGAACTTTAAGGAAAAGGTGGTATCTCTCCACTGGGGGTTATTTCCGGAAACGCTACTTCTTCTCAAGCACATATGGATACTTCTTCTTCTTGTGGAAAAGGGATCGCATTGCTTGCAGGCAGCCCGTGTATAGTCTCCTGTCTGTTTAAATAGTTAAATCATTTATTTATGTGCAGGCGCATGTGCAGGTCTGAGGATGACTTTGGGGAGTTTGTTCTCCATCCACCTTCACTTGTGTCCCAAGGACTGGTCTTGACAGCAAGCACCTCACCGCTGGCGGCCTCTCCTGTGTACTTTAGCTTACGTATGGCACACTTTATACAGTGTTAGGTGTTTAGGGAATCATGGTGGTTCTGTATATGTTCAGCACAAGTACTTTTTTTTCTGAGCATTTTCAGTTCATAATTGGCTGAATCTATGACTGCAGATCCCTCAGATTCCGAGGGTGGTGACCCCAGAATCTGTGAGAGGCTGGAGTGATTGTGCCGTCACGCTCAGGACCGGGGCGAGCGCCAGTCAGGGAGATACCTTGAGGAAGAACCATCCAATAGTGGAGTGAGTTGGCCAAGTACAAGAATTCAGATGGAACAGGGCAGGGAGAGAGAGGGCTTGCTCACTGCAGTCACTTACCAAGTTGTTGGCTGCCATGGCAACTCAGGGATGAGATTCTGAGATTCTGTTCTCATCTCTCACTCAGTGATGAACCTGGACCTTATGATGGAGACTGTGCAGTGCTTCCCCTTCAGCGTTAGTTTTTTTTTAAAATTTTTTTAAATATTTGTTTATTATGCATACAATATTTGTTCGCATGTATTCCTGCAGGCCAGAAGAGGGCACCAGACCTCGTTACAGATGGTTGTGAGCCACCATGTGGTTGCTGGGAATTGAACTCAGGACCTTTGGAAGAGCAGGCAATGCTCTCAACCGCTGAGCCATCTCTCCAGCCCCTTCAGCGTTAGTTTTGAAGTTTCCATTTGTAAAGTTAGCACGTGTACATGAGAGGACAATTACCCATGTAAATGAAGTGTCGGGTGAGTGGTGAACTCACAGAATACTGGCCTTTAGAGAAGGGCACTGTTGGAATGAGTGTAGAGGATTGTGGAGGACCTTGGAGGGAGTGAGACTTGAACTAAAGGAAGAGAGAGGCTCGGGAGAGCAAAGAAAGGAACTAGACATTTCCAGTAAAGGGAGAAAAAGGCACAGGAAAGGGGCAGGAACTGGAGCCACTGAGGCTGAGCGTGCTGTGCCTGTGGGCCTCGGCTGGCCCTCCCGCTTGCCTGGTTCCTGAGTCATACAGCAGAAAGTATAGGAAGGTCCAGGGATTAGATTACCCTTGACTATCCTGCCTGGGCACTGGGGCTTTCCAGTGAGGGGCCTCGTGGAGCACCAAGGTGCACGTCTGAGTGACTAGTTCAGGGGATACAGAGCACAGCCTGTGTGGCAATTGGGGGGGGGGAGTTATCCATGAATACGTGAGTGAGCACTTGTGCTAGGTCCTCTTAGGAGTTGGAGAGAAGAAAGCGGGGAGTGTCAGTGCCCCTCCCTTCCCCATCTAGTAAATTAGCTGACAGGCCAGACCCCTTCTAAACCTTCTTATTTGTTTTGTGTAGCTCTAGAGTATTGGTTCTCAACATACAGGTCGAAAATCCCTTCAAAGGGATCGCATAAGACCATTGGAAAACACAGATATTTATGTTATGATCATAACAGCAAAATTACACTATGAAGTAGCAATAAAAATAGTTTTATGGTTGGGGATCACTGAACATGAGGAAATGTGTTAAAGGGTCGCAGCGTTAGGAAGGCTGAGATCACTGATCTAGAGCTAAGTAAGAATGCTGAGTTTTTTGCTTTGTTTTGTTTTTTAGTTTTTATGTGCATGTGGAGGGCAGAGACTTGAGAGTCTGTGAGTGTTAGAACTGAGCTCAGGTTCTGTGCAGGAGCAGTGTGTACTCTGAGGCACGAGCAGCTCTTCACAGTGGTTCTCATTTGTCTTGTGTGTGTGGATTGAGCCCAGAACCTCAGGCATGGGAGACAAACACTGACTGAGCCACAATTGTGGCCTCGGTTTTTGTTTGTTTATTTATTTTTTCTTTCTGTTTTTTCTTTTTTCTTTCTTTCTTTCTTTTTTTTTTTTTTTTTTAGTAAAGCTCTCAAGTAGCCCAGACTGGCCTCAGGTTTTCTGTATAGCTAAGAGTAACTGAATGACCTCGAATTTATTATTTTATATTTGAGGCAGAATTTCACTGTATAGCCCTGACTGTCCTGGAACTCTCTATGTAAATGTTAACCAGACCAATACCAGACTTAGAGAAACTGATCTGCCTCTGCCTCCCAAGACCTGGGATCAAGGATCAAGGCCACCACCCCTGGCCAACCTTGAATTTTTGACGGGGGCGTTAAGATTACTGGCACACCCGGTTCATATCCTTTTGGGAATAGAAACCAGGGCTTGGTGCCTGCTGGGAAAACCCTACCCACTGAGCTGTGTGTTCCCTGTCCAGTTCTTAGGCTTTTAATTGATCTTTTTCAAATCAAAATATTTCATAATGCATGAAAATATGATGAAATTTAAACTTGAGTGTCCATAAATGTTTTTGGAAAATGGCAGTGTTCAGTTATTTGTCTGTGGCTACTTTTAACCTGCAGGGCAAGGGTTGTGTAGTAACAGAGACCTTAAAATCCAAAATATGTTCTCTTTGACACTTGACAGAAAACTGTCCATCCTTGACTTACACCCATCTGTGGCTCAACCAATCTCCTTTTCTGAAACAGAATGGCTGCTGTCTCCTCCCTGAGCTCGGTCCTTCTACCCAGGCTTAATTTTGTAATCTTTGTGCCAAGATCCAACCCAGGGTTCCCACCATGTCTTCTGTCTTTTTTTTTTTTTTTTCCCCCAAACTAGTACAGGACTCTGTGTAGTCCTAGCTGTCCCAGAACTTGCTTTGTAGACTATTCAAGACTGGCCTACCTTTGCTTCTCAAATGCTGGGATTAAAGTTTGTGTACTGTAGATACCTCCCACCCTGTTTTAAGCAAACACTCTATCACTAAACCGCCCCCCCCCCCCATTCGATGGGGCTTTTAAATACTGTCTCTCTCTTCCGGGTGCTCCTTTTCAATACTTTCTCTCTCTTCCAGGTGCTCTTTTAAATACTGTCTGTCTCTTCCAGGTGCTCCTTTTGAGGCCTTCGTTCACTTTCCTCCAGGAAGTTTTCTTTTGTTGGGTGCTAGGGGTGTAATAGCTCAGACACTGAGATGGAGTCTTGTAATACAGCCTTGGCTAGCCTCAAACTCACAGAATTCCTTCTGCTTCAGCCTCCTGGGCACTAGGATTACAGGTGCGCATCACCCCCAGCTCTCCTGGGACCGTTTCCCTCTAAAAGTAAGCCCTCAGCTCAGTCCAGAAGTACTGGTCCTGGCTCTGCCCACTCTGCTTCTCCTTTCATTTCACCACCACTCAGACTCCAGCCCCAGCACTGCAGGGTCTCGCTGAATCATTAGAGAATCCGTGTGTGTGTGTGTGTGTGTGTGTGTGTGTGTGTGTGTGTGTGTTTGTGTGTCGGTATGGGGGGGTGGGGGGAATGACAGTGGTTTTTCCCTGGCTTTTACTTTGTTTACTCTGACCTTTGTTGTTTTGATTGTTTTGTTTTTCATGAGACCTTTTTTTCTTTTAGCTGCTGTGACTTTCTTTGCTCTAGCTCTTTCCCGCACTGGCCTACCAAGTCTTACTAGTTAGTGCGTTAGATGCTGCTTGCTCTTTTTGTCTGTCCTTTGTCCTGGGAGCTATTTTATAGGATACTTTATGTGTCAGTTGCTGTATTAAAATACTTTGCACAAATTATTCTTAATCCTTTTTTTGTTGTTTTGCTTTTGTTTTTTCAAGACAGGGTTTCTTCTGTAGACCAGGCTTGCCTTGAACTTAGAGAGATCTGCCTCCTAGGTTCTAGAATTAAAGGTGTGTGCCCCCACTCCAGCAAATTTTTCTTAAACAGCTTTTATTTTAAATATTTTAAAAAGTTTATGCCAGGTGGTGGTGGCGCAATCCTTTAATCCCAGCATTGGAAGACAAAGGTAGGCAGATCTCTGTGAGTTTGGGGACAGACAGGGCTACTCACAGAGAAACCCTATCTTGAACAAAAATATGTATGTATGTATATGTATATATAATTTTTAGCTACACATGTGTTTATGACTGTGTGAGGATATTTGCAGGGGAAGTGCAGGTGCCCATGGAAGCCATTGATGACAGAGCCTCCCATGAGCTGCCTGATGTGGATTCAGAGAGAGCTCAGGTCCTCTGTGAAGCAGTGCATACTCTTAACTGCTAGGCCATCTCTCCAGCTGCCAACAGCAGCTTTTCAAAAGATAGACTCGGGGTAGCTCAGTTGGTCAAGCACTTGCCGTCCTACACAAAACCCAAGGTTTGCTCCTCAGCACGGCATACAAACCTAGGTGTAGTGATACATACATGTATGTATTCAGAAGGCAGAAACGGGAGGATCAAAAGTTTAAGGGCTACAAGTTTACAGTCAGCTTATGCTTCATGAGCCCCTGTCCCAGGGTGGAGAGGTGAAATCTGGACAGCTGTTTCCCCACTGATAAGGTATCCATGTCCTCCATCAGGTCAAGCGGTACCAGTGCACCTTTGAGGGATGCCCCCGCACCTACAGCACAGCAGGCAACCTGCGCACCCACCAGAAGACTCACCGCGGAGAATACACCTTCGTCTGTAACCAGGAGGGCTGCGGCAAGGCCTTCCTCACCTCCTACAGCCTCAGGATCCACGTGCGAGTGCACACAAAGGAGAAGCCATTTGAGTGTGACGTGCAGGGCTGTGAGAAGGCATTCAACACACTGTACAGGTCAGCCTCTCCATGGCTATGTCCGCCAGCGTCCTGACTCTGAGCTTGGGACTACAGAACACCTTTTCCATGCATATGAAAGAAAGCTTTTGGGACTGGAAAGCATAGCTGTGCTTACCTATTTAAAATGCATTACCAAAACCTGCTACTTACAAATAGGTGTGCCAGGGGCTGGGTGGAAGTGTTGGCACATCTGCGTGTAGGCTTCCATCGCAGGGAGCGACATCGTGCCCTTGGGATTTTAGTAATTGGCTTAGAGTAGTCCTCCCATTGGCACAAAGCCTTGGAGATAACTTTCTTCTATCCTGACAGGTGGGGTTGCCACTTGATCTCTATTTCTTTCTCCATGTTTGTGTCAGGAGACTTAGACCAGTCTTCAGTATGAGCCATAAAATAACAAAATAACAGACATACCATTCTGAAAGTGCCTGATCTTGTTTGATCCCAGAAGCCAAGCAGGGTTGGGCCTGGTTAATATTAGATGGGAGAAATAATAATGGCTAACGCTGATGTGTGCAAGGTGCAGTTCTACGTGCTGGTCCCCAGAACAGCTGCTAAGTGAAAAGAAGTAGAGAGGAGTTGTGTAGGGTCAGGGCCAGGACTTGAACCCAAAGGAGTCTGTCTCTAATTAATGCTCACGGCCACTCTGCCATCCTCTCTGGGTAATTTCAGGTGCTAATGTGCGCTGGTACAGCGTACTGGTGCACTTGGTCCTATGGTGCAGTAGGCTGGTACTGGGAGGCTCTGTGCTCCATTCAGCATGGGACATTTCTCTGGGATATTTTGCAGGTTGAAAGCACATCAGAGGCTTCACACAGGGAAAACGTTTAACTGTGAATCTCAAGGCTGCAGCAAGTACTTCACCACACTCAGTGATCTGCGGAAGCACATTCGAACCCACACAGGAGAAAAGCCATTTCGGTAGGTCCTGCTTTCTTCTGTTTGTCACTGACCAGGTCTCAGCTGGGATTCTTGGTAGACTCTAGGAAGTTTCAAAGTAGGAAGAAAACCCCTGACCCATTTCCTTACTTAGTGGTGCTAGCTTCCCACAGGGTAGCAGTGACCACCTACTGCGGGTTGGAGGAATGCCAGAGGACTCAAAAGCATCTCTCCCTGGGTGATGGCTGTCCATTCTGCCTCATTTGTTCCCTGTATTCTAAAAAAGGTGTTTGTTGAAGTTGACTTACATGGCAGACTCTTTTTTTTTTTTTTTTTTTTCGAGACAGGGTTTCTCTGTGGCTTTGGAGCCTGTCCTGGAACTAGCTCTGTAGACCAGACTGGTCTCGAACTCACAGAGATCCGCCTGCCTCTGCCTTCCGAGTGCTGGGATTAAAGGCGTGCGCCACCACCGCCCGGCTCCATGGCAGACTCTTTTCTTTGTACTAAGGAAGTACTGAGATCCTTAGTCAAGGACTGGGGTTTGTACCCTGGGCTGCAGAGTAAGATCCAGTGTCAACACCCCTTCCCCTTAGACAACACAGAACATCCTTAGTTGAGTGGGACAGAGCCACAAAGTTGTAGACAGTGTCTGATGCTATCAGCCTAAGTGGCCGGAGCGTGGAGAGGGGAGACCTCTCTAAGAAAGGGGACTTGAGTTGTTTCTGAGTGTGTTCACAAGGGACGGTGAGGGAGGAGACTCGGGGCCCTGCATGCGCTACTCAGTTACCTATTTGCTCTTGCTTTTAATATCTCATGTTTGTGTACATATAGAACCACTTTTTTGTGTAAATTTTAAATGTTATTTCTTTATATTTCATGTCTGAGTGCTTTGCATGTATGCCTTGCTTGCCAGAAGAGGGCATCAGATCCTATTACAGATGGTTGTGAGTCACCATGTGGGTGCTGGGGACTGAGCTCTTGAAGAACAGCCAGTGCTCTTAATCGCCAAGCTATCTCTCTAGTCCCCAAAATCCATATTTATAAGTATGTATCTGTGTGAGTACATGTTATATGTGTGCTGACACAGAGGCCAGAAGAGAGTATCAGCGCCCCTGGAGCTGGAACTAAATTTGCGTCCTTGATGAGGGCATAAATGCTCTTGACTCCTGAGCCGTCTCCCCAACCACATCCTCCACAGTAGACAAGTCTGTACCATCCTCTTTTCCTCTCATTGCGTGTAACATGTGGCATGTGTTGAGAGCAGCCTCAGATGATTATATGACATTTTCATAAGGTAATCATTTTGAAAGGATCCCCATAACTGTGTTTTAAGTATTGCTGAAGATTTCCCATAAACAGTGTCCTTGACTCCTGATAAGGGACGCTGCTTAAAGTTATGGCATAAACATGCTACCCTTCCCTTTTCAAGTTACTTGTCTTCCTCAGCATACTTGGAGGCAGTTGAAATGTCTCCAGGGGCAGCTAGCTCTTAGACACCAATGAAATGAAATTGAGGTTTCAGTACCATTTAATACCATACTCAGATACATTCCCAAGTCTCAGCTCCTTTAAGAACAGGAGTTAACAGTCCAGTTGGTCACTCTCTGCAGATGCTTATATACCCCCACCAGATTGCTAGGGGGACTCTTACTTCTATACAAATGGATGCATTTATTTTTGTGATGATTAAAACAGTTTTGTCTTGAATATTAGAGGAGACCTAGATAGATACAGTGATGATTATTTGTGATTGAAAATCAAAAGGCTTTAAAGAAATGTTCTATTTAAATAAATAAGATGTTTAGATATAAGAAAATCTATTTGGTCATGTATGTAAGTGTTAAGTTCTTGCTATGCAACAGCTAAAGCAATGTGAAGAACTACCCAGACCCTCCCTTGAGAAAGCAGATAAAAATATGCACACATCTGGTGTGGTGGTACACACCTTTAATCTCTGTGGATGCAGAGGCAGGCAGACCTCTGTGAGGTCCAGACTAGCCAGAGCTACGTAGTGACACCGTCTCAGATCAGCTCCCTCGTCCCAGATGCACAGAGATGAAGGAGGATTGTAATGAGAGGTGCTGTAAAGGAAGCATGTGATAAATGCATTAGTAGTCCTGAGGAGGTGGAGATTATTCCTGACCGATTATCAAGGAAGTATCCGGGAGCTAGGAGTGCAGCTCACCCAACATTCTGGATTCCCTGGTGTTGCGTTTTAGTACTCTGTGAGCCAGGAATAATGGTGCATGTCTGTAATCCTAGCTACAGAGTGAGTTCAAAGCCAGCCTGAGATGGAGGAGACCTTCTCTGAGATGGGGAGGGGTCAGCTAAGTACCGAGAATTATGGCTAGTTCTTGATTACAGCCATATCAGTGCTTTGTGTTTGGTTTGTGTTTTTTTTGTTTGTTTGTTTGTTTTTTTTGCTGTTTTTCCAGTTCCATAAATACCATTTTTTACTTGTTTTGAGACAAGGTTAACTCTAGCCCAGGCTATCCATGAATTTGTGAGCCTCCTCTTGCCTCAGCCTCTTGGGTACTAGGATTACAGATAAATATCTATAGACCCAACTCTCTTTACCCACTCTTGATATGCATAATAATTCAGTGGCCATAGATTTTCCACATGGCTCTCACTGTCAGCACAGTTCTGTCCAGTAATTAGTAAGGTTTATATTGCTGGGATGCTCTCAACACTACCTTACCTACAGGCTATCTTAGACTCGGCTCCTGCTGATTCCAGATGTGCTACCTTTCCCTTCCCTTTTTGTTACATTTATCATTCATTCATTCCTTCATTCTGTGTGTGTGTATGTGTGTGTGTGTGTGTGTGGCAGTCAGAGGACAACTTGATAGAATTGTTTTTCCCGTCTTGTGGGTTCCAGAGATCCAAGCTGGTCTACCTGGCCTAGCCATCTTGCCAACCCACCCCCATGTTTTTGTTTCCCTGTCCCTAAAACCTCTATGACTGATCTGATCTTAGCATTACAAACATTTGCTCTAGTGCACACGCACAAGATCTTCAGGATAAAGCTCTCCTATTGGATGACTTTTGTTTCTTTACCTAAACAACTTACTTAGGTGTGATCACGATGGCTGTGGAAAAGCCTTTGCAGCAAGCCACCATCTTAAGACTCACGTCCGTACGCACACTGGTAAGTGAAGGCTGAGTTCCAGTTTCCTTTCCTTTTCTTTCTTTCTTTCTTGTTTTGTTTTTCAAGCCAGGGCTCTGTAGAGCCCGGTTGCCCTGGAACTGTCTCAGTAGAATGGGTTAGCCTAGCACTGGAGAGATCGACCTGCCGCTCCCTCCTCAGCGCTGAGATTAAAGGTGTGTGCCACCATGCCTGCCGTAGTTTCCTCCACCTGACCTCTTCAGGTTTCTCTTGAGACCTTTAAGACTAGGAAGAAGGTGAGCACAGTCGGCCTGGCCTTCACCTACAGCGCCTGTGTTTCTTTAGTGAAGGATCTAAGGACTAATCCACCCTGAAGCTATGAAACAAGACATAACCTTGTTTCATGCAGGAGAGCTGTGAGGCAGCGACAGCCTTGTCCTCAGGCCTCCAGGCCCAGGCCGCGGCTGCTGCCTTCCTCAGCACTGGGTTCTCAGACTGAGAAAGCCTGCGCTAGTTGGTTCAGTCTTGAACAGCTCGTGCTCAGACCTTCCCTGGGTTAGAAGGGAGAGCTTGCCTGCTGAGGAAACTAATATGGCTTCTTCCCTCCTGCAGGTGAAAGACCCTTCTTCTGCCCCAGTAACGGCTGTGAGAAGACCTTTAGCACTCAGTACAGCCTCAAAAGTCACATGAAAGGTCACGATAACAAAGGAACCGTGTACAGTGCACTTCCACAACACAATGGATCAGAGGTGCGTTCTGGTCTCCTGTCCTGATCTGGGCACTGCAGGGCAGCTGTTTGCAGCTGTTGAGTTCTCTGTTACCTGGCGAGGGAGAAAATGGGTCAGGACCTGTGTGCCTCTGCCATGGGAGGGTGGAAGCCAAAAACGTCACCGGCTTGGGGAAGAAGGTGCCACTGACTGCCTTTTCAAGGCCTAAGCCTAGTCCCCATGTCATCCCCCTCTCGCTTCCATGTGTGTTCACGTATGTAAGATACATACTGGGCAGTACGCTCTCGTGTGCACCGGCTTGAGCTCAGAGGACGACCTCCAGTGCTGCTCCTCGGCGCTGCCTGTCCCTCTCCTTTGTCCCTCTCCTTTTATTCTTTCGAGACAGGCTCTCACATTGGCCTCCCCAGTGTATAGATCACAAGTGTGCACGGTACTCCCGGCTTTAAAAAAAAAAAAGAAAGCATAAGTTTGGGGACTTGAAATTTATGGACTGAGTTGTCATCCCCCCTCCTCCCAAGTCCGGCGGTTTGGAGTTTTGTTCTGAGAGAAAAATCTCATCCCATGGTAATTGTCCTACCTCAGTCTCTCATGTGCTGGTGTTGTGGGCATGAAGCCCCATGCCTGGCTTGGAACTCTTAGGTTAATGCCACTTTCCCATTCATGACTGCAGTAGGGATAAGTCTATACCACATTTGGAATGAAAACCAAAGTTGCCTGGCACCTCTGTCAACACTGGAGAGCCAGGCTTAGTCTGGAGGGTTCCCTGCCCCCTTGGTTGTCTGAAGAATAAAAGATTTGAGAGAGCCTGCCTCGCTCACTGAGCACAGAGGGGAGGCCTCTGTAAGCTTTAGGAGCGTTGCTTTTTGTTTTTTTTTTTTTTTAAGATATTTTTATTTTATGTAGATGGGTGTTTACCTCCATGAACTTGTGTCTATATACCACCTGTGTGCCTGGATCTCTTGTAAGTCAGAAGAGGGCATTAGAGTCCCTGCAACTGGAGGTACAGCTGATTGAGAGCCACTATGTGGGTGCTGGGAACTGAACCTGGGTCCTCTGCAAGAGCAGTCGGTGCTCTTAACCACTGAGCCATCTTTCTAGCCCCAGGCTGGCCTGGAACTGCAGGCCGAGGGCGAGGGAGGGACCTGAGGCTGGAGGGATATCTTGATTGCTTTTAGTCCTGCAGCCTGGATTTCTCCCCAGCTCCAGGCTAACTTATTCATTGGTCCCCTTTGCAATAATGAAATTCAGAAACTATGAAATAAGATTTCTATTTTTGGTGAGACAGCACACTCAGAAGCCTGTGGTTCCTAGTTTTTAAACAAGCATCCTTTTAAAGCACTCTCAGTGCTGGGTAGAAGGCTCAGTGGGTAATGGTGCTTGCCCCATGGCCTGAGCTTGATTCCCTGAACCGTGGTGGTGAGAACCAACTCATGCAAGTTGTTCTCTGGCCTCCACGTGTGTGCTGTGGCAGCCCCCCACCAAACACACGTAGTAAATAATGGGTAACTCCTATCTGTTGAATGTTAAATACGTGCAGAATCTGTTGTAGGTGCTGCCTCACTCACAGCTCTGTACCGTCAGCATTCCCACGTTACTGATTAAGAGCCTTGGAGCAAGGAGAAATTAAATAGCTTGCCAAGGTCTGCATAGCTTGTCTTGAGTGTGACTTAGGCAGGCAATGTGACTCTGGAGCCAACCTCTTAAGGTTTGCCTTGTTAGAGACAAGGTGACGTTAGTTGTGAAGAGGGTGGCCTCTGGTGCTCACCAGCCCCAGTTGAAACCATCCTTCTGTCACTAACCACATGGCCTTTGGCAGATTGCTTCTGGACACCTCAGTTTCTTCATCTGAGAAAACCAGGCAAGAACTGCTCTCGTTAGGTCAGAATCAGTTTCTTGTTTTGTAGCAGTGCATGGAGACTTGAACTCAAACCCTTTGTGTATTGGCCAGGGTTCTGTAGAGAGAATAACAGAACTTACAGAGTGAATCTCAATCTCTCTCTCTCTCTCTCTCTCTCTCTCTCTCTCTCTCTCTCTCTCTCTCCCTCCCACCCCCCACACACACACACACACACACACACACACACACACTCACATATACCTTGGGAAGTGCGAAACACCAATAAGTGTTCAGTCCACGAGGCTGGATGTCTCAGCTGGTCTTAGTATACACAAGAATCCTGAAGAAGTAGGCTCTAATACCAGCGAAGAAATGGACTTGGTAGCTCTTGTGGGAGGAAGCAGGCAAAGGAGAGCTTCCATCTTCCATGTCCTTTATATAGGCTTCCAACAGTAGGGGTGGCCCAGCTTAGAGGTGCATCTTCCTACCTCAAAAGATCAGTGGTTCTCAATCTTCCTAACGTTGTGACCCTTTAATACAGTTCCTCCTCATGTTGTGGTGACCCTCAACCATAAAGTTATTTTTGTTGCTACTTCATAACTATAATTTTGCTACTGTTAAGAATTGTAAGTTGTCTGTGTTTTTCAGTGGTCCATATGGAAGGTTGGTTGACCCTACAAGGGGGCTGAGAGCCCCTATTCTAGATTAAAGGTGTGTCTTTCCACCAAGAAGACCTGACTAGAAGTGGATCTTCCCACTTCAAATGATCCAGTTATATATAAAAAAAATCCCTCACAGCTGTGTCCAACCTTTTTTTTTTCTTTTGGTTTTAATTAATTCCAGGTGTGGTCAGTTTACAACCAAGAATAGCTATCACACTGAGCCTTGGGTGTACCAGTGTTCAGTCTTGTAAGGGCAAATCTCTGCATCTCTGTTCAGCAGGGGGATGACTCCTGGCCTGAGGCTTAGGGACCATCTGCAGTGCCCTGAGTTTAACATTGACAGTGCCAGCCTAGGCCCGTCCAGCCTCCCACTGACACCGTCATCAGATAATAATCGATCTTCAACCTGACTATCTGGACCTGCTTCTCTTGCAGCATTCATGTAGTTCACAGGCAGTTAGGCTTCTCGAGTGGTGGAGTTCCAAGTCTTGGTGACCTCTTCCTTATCATCTTACATAGCCACTAAGACCACCTGTCATCTCTACCAGAATATGTCTAAGTCTAGCTGAGTGTGACGGCTGTGCCTGTAATCCTAACACTTGCTATGGCTGTAAAAGCAGGAGGATCAAGAGCTCAAGGCCTAACTGGGCTCTGAGAGACAACGAAACAGACAAAAGCCCTGTCTAGAATCCAGTCATTTTCCTGGTATCTTCGGTCAGCCTGCTTGTGTGTGCCTGGATTGCCTGGCTTGTGCTATTCCCTGCGTAGTCCCACTGTGTTGGCCCAGGCTTCCACAGGCTGTCCTGCCTACATCAGCCTTTCTGTCTGAACCACAATGCAGATAAGTTCTATTCTCATGGCTGCTTGGCAGCTTCCTGTGTCATCTAGAGTTAAGGTCACAATCCTGTCCGTAACCGTCAAGGCCCCGGTCACTTATCTGACATCATCCACGTCTTGTCCTCCCCCTTCCATCATGTCACCCTCTTTGTGGTAAACCAGGAGACACCCACTCTTCCCTCAGGTGTTTCACCTCACTGCAGGCTCTGTCAGACACTCTTGCTCCAATGCCTACTTTCGTTTCTACTCAGACACCTTCTATATGAAAAGTTTTCCCTAACCATCTAAACTCCTGTGTTGGTGAGATAGCTCAGTGGGTACAGGTGATTGCTGCCAAACCTGGCATCCTGAGTTCAACTCCCGGAGCCCCACATGATGGAAATAGAGAACCAGTTTCTGAAAGTTGCACTGCAGATGGCCCCTGTAGCTGAGACTAGGAAGCAAGAAAATAAACACTCTTACTTTTTGACCCCAGAGCGCTCCTCTCCTGCGCTGTCATTGGTGGCCGTCACTAGAATGGAAGCCTGCTAAGTGCAGAGGTTTGTTTCTTACTGTGTTCCTGGCCTGGATCAGTACCTAATACTCAGGCACTATTGCACTCTTGTGCTTTGGAGCCATTGTTAAAGACAATAAATGTTGTAAGGATTGAGTTATGGCTCAGCAGGTAATAACACTTGCTCCCTTTGCAGAGGACCCAGGTTCGAGTCCCTGCACCTGAATGGCAGCTCACAATACTAGTTCCAAGGGATCTGACACTCTTCTGGCTTGTGAATGCAACCAGGACTTACATACATAAGTCCTGAAACATAAAAGTAAATCTTTTTTGAAGAGAAAAAGAAGGATTTCTTGAACATAAGCCTACAACACTCAGACAAGTGATCTGATTCCCTGGACAGCTCTGAGTGACTGGTGTGGGAAAGGGCTGTAGCTTTATGGGAGATAGGGGGTAGGCGGCCCAAGATTGCATCATACGCCTCATTGGTATGCAGTTGGAAGCTCAGGGGTAGTTTAGTCTGATTTAGTTTTGACTCATCGTTTACTATGGATTGCTGGAACTGAAAAGCAGGCTTGTATGTGTTGAATGTATACATGGTGGGAGTGTCTTTCCCACTTGGATAGAAGCAGGAACCCACAAAGGGTCAGGACTGTGGTACATGTTCAGGAATCCAGAGTTCAGAGTTGCCTAAGCAGCAGGATTTGAATAGTTAACGCTCACCACCATTCCGAGGAGGAACCTGGGAAGCCCATATGGAGAGACACTACTGGCAGGAGAATTGACTGTTCAGCCAGGACGTTTGTCGTCTGTGAACTAGCTGTGTATCTGTGCAGCACTCCCTGTCATAACATAGATTTTTCTCCTAATTCAAATGAGAGTATTAGATAATATTTCTCCAGTTTACTTGACTAGCAAATTAGTAATGTGAAATCACTTTATAAATTATGAAAGAAATTAGACAAATGTTAGTAATTTCATGCTGTGTTTTTTTGCAGCTTGATTCATAGGTAATTTAAAAATAATTTAGCCACTGGCTAGAGAGATGGCTCAGAGGTTTAGAGCATTGGCTGCTCTTCCAGAGGACCTGGGTTTGCAGCACTCTTATGGAGGTTCAGTGCAGTCAGTAGCTCAAGTCTCAAGTGATCCAAAGCTCTTTTTTTCCTTGACCACCAAACACACACATAGTATGCAGATATACATGCAGGCAAAATACACATAAAGTTAAATTAAACTTGAAATGACAACTACTAGTCACTTTAAGAAACAATTGATCATGCTGTCTCATACCTGCAATCCCAGCACTTGGGAGGTGGAGGCAGGATGGTCATAAATTCAAGGGCATGGCTGCCTAGAGAATTGGAAGCCGTGCTGGGTTATGTGACATCCTACCTCAGAAGAACTGGGGATGGAACGGAGGTATTCTAGTAAGAATACGGAGGGGGGCTGGAGAGATGGCCGAGGTTAAGAGCACCAGCTGTTCTTCCAGAGGTCCTCATTTCAGTTCCAAGCAACCTCGTGGTGGCTCACAACCAGCTATGATGAGATCTGTTGCCCTCTTCTGGTGTGCAGTCACACATGTATCAATAATAAATAAATCTTTTTAAAAAAGAATACGAAGGGGGTTTTCTTTGTAAGTTTGTTTTTGTTTTCTTTTTAATGAAACTATCTACTTAGCCCCCGCTTTGGATGTGTCTGACCTTTTTTTTTTAATTTTTATTTATTATGTATACAACATTCTGCCTCCATGTATGCCCGCACACCAGAGGAGGGTGCCAGATCTCATTACAGATGGTTGTGAGCCACCATGTGGTTGCTGGGAATTGACCTCAGTACCTCTGAAAGAGCAGCCAGTGCTCTTAACCACTGAACCATCTCTCCAGCCCCATGTCTGACCTTTCTTAAGTGACATGTACAGACATTTAGAACCTTAAGGACTTGGAAATCAAGTATTTTATTGTGTATTGTGCTGCTATAATTTTTACTTATTTTATATATATTTTTTACATTATGATTTTTTTTTTTCTTTCACAGGATACAAATCACTCACTTTATCTGAGTGAGCTGGGCCTTCTGTCCACGGATTCTGAACTGCAAGAAAATTCCAGTGCAGTAAGTAGGAGGGGCGCTAGAGGAATTCCTGTGAAAATGGGGAAGGCACTGAAGGTTCCTAGATTTGGTCGTGTTTGATTGCTACTCTGGAAATGCCTTTGGTGTAAATCATTCTTTTGATGGCCTTTTGATCCCAGAAGATTTCCTATTTTAATAACTTAGGCAAATATTCACTGAATAATGTTCTGGCAGCCACTGTGCAGCCTTCGGCACAATTAGGAAGGTGTGGTTTGGCCTCAAGGAACTTGAGGTCTAGTTAGAAGAGTCAGAATCCTGGAGTTCCTGGACTTGTGTCAACCCCGTGTCTCACCTGCCTTAGGCCGCTTCCTCCTTCAAGCTCACCTTAGTGGGCTTGCTGTACAGGTCTCCCCTCGGGGACAAGCCCACTCATCTTTGTCACTGTGGTTCCTCAGTGCGCTAGCCGACCATTACTTGGGGCCTGAGCGTGTTCAATCCAGCTGATACTATGTTTCTCTACACTGATTTTGAGGTTTATGCTCAGACTAGATTTTCTTCAGCCGTCCAGATACGGGACCACCGGGGTGAGCCAGCATGCTGAACTAGAATAACCTTATCTTACGGTGTGGGAGTTGATACTGTAAGTGGTAGCCCCTCTGAGAACATCGGCTCTTATCTGGGTGTCACGGTGCACCTGGAGTGCCATGGGGGTGACTGAGGCAGGAGATCACTGGAGCCTAGCAGTTGGAGACCATTCTGAGAGCAGTGAGACCTGTCTCTAAACAAGAAATATACATTAAAGTGTATGTGCTCTCCGTACAACCACACAGTCAGCGTAGCGACAGTGATATTAAAAAGTGTACTTGGAGATTTAGGCAAGTGCAGTGCCCTGGGTTCTACCTCACTTGGGGTGTGTGTGTGTGTGTGTGTGTGTGTGTGTGTGTGTGTGTGTTGTGCTGGGAACTTTCATGTAGGGCCTCAATGCTTGCTAGGCAAGTATTCTACCCCTGATCTAAATCCTCATCCCAGACAGAAAATTTTCATAGCTAGCATTTGCTCATGGACATAAATGAATATGTTTATGCAAATAGGAAATCTTGGAGAAGTAGAAACTATATAAAAATAAAACCAGGTATGGAGGGGCACATGTTTCTAATCCTAGTGCTTTGGAAGCTGAGCCAGGAATTTGTGGTCAACCTATACTATGTAAGTGAACCTCCCAATAAATAAAATAATCCAAGTGAAGCTTGATATATGGGCATTAAAGTGATTACCTGTAATCCTAATGTGTGAGGTACAGGCAGCAAGATTGTAGATTCAAGGAGCTATGCTATTTTAAAAAAGTTCATTTAGAACTGAAAATTAAGTCAGGTAATTCAAAACCAGGGGCCGTCAAGATAGTTCAGTGGAGAAAGTGCTTGCCACTCGAGCCTGGTGAGCTGAGTTCAGTTTCTGGAGTCTCCAGGCAATAGAGAATTGGCCTCACAGGGTTGTCCTCCACTCTCCATAGTATACCGTGCTCCTGTGCATGTGTGCACTTGAACACAAAGAAACCACATGGAAAGATCCGTAGGTCAGACGTAACAGCGAAGAAACAGAAGGAATCATTGTTAAGTTGGAGATAGCTTAGTCTGGAGTAACAAAGGTGAAAAACATTGACTATTCCATATGATTGTCATTCATATTACAGAACAGTTTTCTAAAGTTTATACTCTAGATGTCTTAGGATGCCCTCTGAGTTACCTAACCTAAGACTTCTGAGTAGAGTATCCTTTTATGTGTACTAATGTTGACTTGTGTGTACAAATACATACCACAGCACACATACAGAGGGCAGAAGACAACTTTTGGGTCCTGGGGGTTGAACTAAGGGCATCAGACTGGCAAGGGCAGTCTCCTTTACCAATAGAAACATCTGGAAGCTCAGCATTTAACTGTATTACATAGCTGAGAAGTCCGTGCTGGCCAGAACTATGACAAAGACTTGCAAGCTTTGGGGAACTCTGAGGCCACCAGGGAAGACACCTGACAAATGGGAACCATTAAGACGCTTGTGAAAAGTGAAGCCATCTCCAGCATAATTATCTGTGTCGAGAGGAATCCTATCCCCTAGTCTAACTATTATGCTCCTGGTACCCTGTGTGTAGCCCAGATTTGGAAAGAGTGTTTTCAGTCTTTCAAACCAAGGTCACAGTTCCTTAAAACAGTCAGACTAATGTGATATTTCTTAATAATTGGGGCGTGGTGTGATCAAATGGTAAATTGTATGACATTATCATCTTGAGAGTGTCTGTGTGCATGTGTCCTAGAAAGGAACTTGTTTGCTCCAGCCTTTTGAGAAGGGGCTGGATGGAGTAGGGTGTGGCCTCTGGGCCTCTTGGTTGCTGAGCTCTGAGGTCATCTGGACCAGGACAGCTCCTGCTGTTTTTCCTGCTCTGAGCCAGAGCTCAGCCTGTCCTCACCTCTCTCTGCTTTGGAGAGTCATTCCCACTAATTCTCCAGCCAGGGGTTTTGCGTTGAAGACTGGTGGGGGCTTCAGCACCTACTCTTCCTCCCTCTCTCTGGCTCTTCCTCTCCCTGCCTCCCTCTTTCTTGTTCTGTGATTTGGAACCTTCATTGAGGAGCGTTGTACATGCACAGAGGGACACAACCATACGTAAGCTGCCTGATGAGTCATTGCACCATGGCACCAGCACAGATAGATGACGTTAAGGCTTGGTCTTTATGCTTGCTTTTGTTTGTCTTTTCTCTCAAAACACTCAGCTTAAGAAATTAATTGTAGCTGAGCAGTGGTGGTGGCGCACACCTTTAATCCCAACACTTGGGAGGCGGAGGCAAGCAGATCTCTGTGACTTTCTGGACAGCCAGAGCTATTATATAAAACCCTGACTCGAAAAGCCAAAGAGAGAGAGAAGAAAAGAAATTAAAAGAGTTAATTGTAGCCCTGTGTGGTGTTGCACACCTGTAATCCTAGCTCTTGGGAAGTAGAGGCAGGAGAATTGCTATAAGTTTGAAGTTGATTTATATAATGGCCAGCTGGAGCTGCACAGTGAAGGCCTCTCTAGAAATAAGTATAGAAAAAAATTATAACATTAGGCTTCATAACCAATATTTCTATTCCTTCCTGTTTTTGTATGTGTGATGTGTGCATATCTGTATACAGATGAGGTCAAAGGGCGATGTCAGGCATCTTGCTCTGGAACTAGGGCTGACGGGATTCTTTTGTCTTGGCCTCCGTCAATACTAGGATTATATGTGCTCAGGCAGCAATGCCATCCTTTTCCCTCCCTCCCTTTCTTTTTCTTTTTCTTTTTTTTTTGGTGTATGTGCGAGCTCGTGCGCGCATGTGTGCGCGTATACTGGGAACTTCAACTCAAGTCCTTATGCTTGAATAGCAATGGCACCTTCTCCCCAGCTCATCACCAACGTTTCTAAGACATCAGCCGAATAGAAGATGGGGTGCTAGGGAGATGGCATAGTGAGTGAAGTGGATGACCAGACTTGTGTTTGGATCTCCATCGCCTACATAAAAGTCATACATGGCAGTGCACACCTGTAAGCCCCAGTCTAGGCAAATGGGCAAGCTCCATGTCTGGTGAACTGTCTGAAAAATGAATAAAAGTAGAGCATAGTAAAGTTCAGTCAACTTCAGCCTCTGCTGTCTACATACACTCAAGCTGAGGACACTGTCGGTCGACATCCAAAAGTGTTCCATAGACTTGTGTCTGCCACACATCTAGATATACATGCGAAGTGTATATGTGCATATGTGATAGATAGAATTGTTCTCTCTTTCTCTCTCTCTCTCTCCGTGTGTGTGTGTGTGTGTGTGTGTGTGTGTGTGTGTGTGTGTGTTTGGCTGTTCAAGTCACAGTGCAGAATCTGAAAGTCACAGCAGCCTTGGCCTGAGTCCTAACTCAGCTGGGCAGGGCACTAGAGTTGCTGCACAGGTTGCTGCCATTCTCCCCATACTGCCAAGTCAGTGACTGTGCTCCCCACCCCCCTTATTCTTTTGGTTGTCTGGTTGACTTTGTTTTGGCTTTGAACTCACAGAGACCCTCCTGTCTCTGCTTCCCAATGCTGGTAGGGATTAAAGGCCTGTAGCACCACACCCGACCCCCAACTGGTTCTTGCAGCAGAGAGAATCAGAGTAAAATAATAGAGTAGTAGTAATAATAGTAGAATAATCAGAGTAGAATAATAGAATAGTAGTAATAATAGTAGAATAATCAGAGTAGAATAACTGCCTTGGAGCAGTTCTCAACTAAGGACTTTCTTGCTGGGGGACAGCCCCAGGCACCACATTTGTGAGCCAGGGCGCAGCCCTGGAGTTCTCTGTCCAGGAGGGAGGGAGGGAGGGAGGGAGGGAGGAAAGAAGGGAGGGAGGGAGGGAGGGAGGGAGGGAGGGAGGGAGGGAGGAGGGAAGGAAGAGTCCTTGTAGAACGCCTGGAAGACTGGAAGATAAGCTGGCAGCTGAGACAAAGCCCCTCCCCCTCAAAGACAGGCTTTACTTTGATTTAGTGTCTTCTTTTGAAATAGGATCTGACTGTGGCACATATTAGAATGTCACAGATACTATGTAATGACCATGAAAGATACGATGTCACTACTATAGAAGCGGTGCAAACTGCAGGGAATTGTTTCAGTCTGTTTTCCATTGCTGATAATACTATACCACAGACCAACTTTTACAGAAAAGATATTTACTTTGGCTCATGATTCTGGAAGCCCAAAGTTGATGGGCCAGATGTGTGTGTGTGTGTGTGTGTGTGTGTGTGTGTGTGCTCCTGTGTGTGCAGGTGTGCAGTTGTGATGGGCAGGATGTGTGTGAGCTCCTGTGTGTGCAGGTGTGCAGTTGAGCTCATGATGGTGGAGACCAGAGGTCATCATCAGTTGTCTTCTTCTGACACTCTCCACTTTAGTTTGGGACAGGATCTCTTACTGACCCTGGAGCTCAGCATTGTGGCTAGATTGGCTGGTCAGCAAGCTCCAGGGATCCCCCTGACTCTGCCTCCCCAGTGCTGGGATCACAGACGTGCACCGCTGTGTGTGCCTTTTGTTATTTTCATACTTATATTTATTCATTTATTTTGTGGAGGTGTGGGTGCTAGGCATCCAAACTCAGATCTTCAGCTTGCATGGCAAACACATTGAACCCTTACCCCCTTCCTTTATTTTGTGGGACAGGATCCTCCACATGCAGCCCAGGTTAGCCTTGAACTTGGGCTGGTCTTGGAGTTTCTATCTCCCTATCTCAGACACTTGTATACTAGGATGACAGATATGCGCCATAACTGGCTTTAGTAGTAGCCTTTTTGGCAGGAAATTTGAGTGTGTATATCCTTGTCTCTTCTCTTTCTTGATTTTTTAGACAGGCTATCCTGTAACTCATTATGTAGACCAGGCTAGCCTGGAACTGACAAAGATCCACCCCCCCTCTGATTCCCAGTTGCTTGGATTAAAGACTTGTGCTGTCAGGCCTGACCTCTTTGTTTTGTGAAGCCCATAGCACTAGTGTTAGACCTCACTGTGGTGATCTTATCTGATCCCCACTCCCTAAGCTTTATGGGGATTAAGCCCTAGCATGAGTTTCTTTCTCTTTTTAAAAATGGAATCATTTTGGCTCAATTAACATGAGTTTCCATGTGGCAAATTATAGTAGTAATAGTCAGATTATAATCTCATTTGTATGCAGAATTTGGTCTTTTAAAACAGGGTTTATAAGATTTAGGTTTATTTTTATGTACATGAGTGTTTTGCTTGCATACTGCATGACTATTGCCCGTGGAAGCCAGAAAAGGGTGTTGAAACCCCTGGAACTACAGTTATAGATGATTGTTAGCCCCATGTGGGTCCAGGGTACACCTCACCCCCAGGCCCTGGCCCATCCCCAAGCCCCTCCCACATAAACATGGCAGGCTTTGCGGCGCCCGTCGTCTCTGTCGCAGCTACTTCCTGTGCTGATGCATGATGCAAACAGCATCCCTGAACGTGTGCCTGCATTCTGGTGAATCTTTATACGAGAAGAACTGGTCGTTGACTTGCAAGCCAGAGCTGCTGATTCCTCGTGGCTCAGTTTCAGGGAAATACATGTCCCTTTGCAGGAGATGGAGATGCTGCTGCCCATGATGGTTTGCACCTGTGATCCCGGTCCTGTAAGACAAAGACAGGAGGATCAGTTCAGGACCAGCTTGAACAATTTAATGAGACTCTGTCTCAAAATAAAAAAAAAAAAAATGAGTACTGGGGATGAAGCTTGGGAGTGGGATGCTTGCCCGAGGTGTGCAGGGCCCCGGGGTTCAGTCTCCAGTACCTACAGAAGGGAGAAAGGAAGAGGAATCCTATCGGGGTTGTCCCCCTGCTTTTTGTGGATGCTTGTCAAGGGGAGACTTCCTCAGGATGATGCATCTCACCTTTCTCCCTTCCAGACACAGGACCAGGACCTCAGCACAATTTCACCAGCAATCATCTTTGAATCAATGTTCCAGAACTCAGATGACCCTGCGGTTCAGGATGACCCTCTGCAGACAGGTGTGCTTTCACCTTCGCCCTTGACCAACTCCCCGGGTGCAGGGGGAAGGTCTCCTTTTTAGTCTCTGGTTGGATTTCTGTGGACATTTTTCCTTCTAGTGTACTGCTCTGTTCATGAGTGGGTGGGATCCGCAAATCTGACGTGTAGGTAACACCACTGGAATGGAATGTCTGTACAATACAGCTTTCCAGGACCAGATGTCTTCTGACTAATCATACCAGAAAGCTTGCCTCTTCTTTTTGCAGAAGAACCACAGGGTACTTTTGTTCTGGTTACATTTACTTAGTCTTTATAAAGTGTGCTTGATCAGGAAGCCAAGCCAGCTAACCGTGAAGTGTTTGTGGTGCCTATGAAGCTTGGGGCGTGGATACATGTTTCTTCTTCTTTTCCTTGCCAGCTGCCTTGATCGAGAGTTTTAATGGTGACGCAGAGTCGGTCAGTGACGTCCCACCGCCTGCAGGAAACTCGGCATCTTTATCTCTTCCGCTTGTACTGCAGCCTGGCATCTCTGAGCCACCCCAGCCTTTGCTGCCAGCCTCAGCTCCGTCCGCTCCTCCACCTGCTCCCTCCCTAGGACCTGGTTCCCAGCCAGCTGCGTTTGGCAGCCCCCCTGCTCTCTTGCAACCTCCAGAAGTGCCTGTTCCCCACAGCACACAGTTTGCTGCTAATCATCAAGAGTTTCTTCCGCACCCCCAGGCGCCACCCCAGACCATCGTACCAGGACTTTCTGTTGTTGCCGGGGCTCCTGCATCAGCAGCAGTAGCATCAGCTGTGGCAGCACCAGCCCCACCACAAAGTACTACTGAGCCCTTGCCTGCTATGGTCCGGACTCTGCCCCTGGGTGCCAACTCTGTCCTAACTAACAATCCTACCATAACCATCACCCCAACTCCCAACACGGCAATCCTGCAGTCCAGCCTAGTCATGGGAGAGCAGAACTTACAGTGGATATTGAATGGTGCCACCAGTTCACCACAAAACCAAGAACAAATTGTAAGTATCACCCATAAGCACACCCGGTGGGATGAAGTGTGTGTAGCAGACACGGCCCTTCCCTCCTTTCTTTTCTTTAGTAGTAATGGGGATTGAACCCTCCCACGCGCAAGGCAAGTGCTCTACCATTGAGAGATCCTTAGCCTTCAGTCTTTTATTTCAAAGGGGAAATGGCTAGCTTGTCTATCTTGAAACATGTATCCATGTAGCTATTCCCCCCAGTAAAGTGTTGCAGATCCCGGGGAATGGATCAGTATATAAGATAAAGATGAAGGGGCTGGAGAGATGGCTCAGAAGTTAAGAGCAGTAGCTGTTCTTCCAGAGGTCCTGAGTTCAATTCCCAGCAACCACATGGTGGCTCACAACCATCTGTAATGGGGTCTGGTGCCCTCTTTTGGCCTGCAGGCATACATGTAGACAGAATATTGTATACATAATAAATAAATATTTAAAAAAAGATAAAGATGAAGAAAAATAATTTCAAAGTTGACCTAGTGAAGACATCTGAATAAATATTCCCTCTAAAGCTAATCACATCATCTGTGCCATCAGGCACGCCCAGCCTGTGGCCTGTGGGCTGCTTGTGTCCCCGGCTGGCAGTGAGTTTGGCTCAGCATTAGTGACCACATCATTACCCTGTAACGACCCCAAAGGCCCAGGAAGTGTCCGGGCAGCAGATCTGTTTATTTTCTTCTTTTCTTTTTGCAATACAAGGGGTCGGACTCATTGCCATACACATTGCTGGGCTAATGCCCACCCCAGGCCCCAGGGTACTTTTCTAAGAATGCATTTGGTCTTGACTCTGGAAGTCACTTGACCAGCATGTCAGTGTGCTGTGAGAACCTAGTATTTGCCAGATTCTATGCAGGAGGATACAGAGAAATGAAAGGCGTGATTTATTTAAGATGTACATTCAAGTAAAGAGACTAAAATATTAATACTACCAACGGGCAAAGAGCCCAATAATACCAGCAGTGAAGCAAAACAAAACAAAGCCCTTTCGCTGAGCTCTTACTGTATGTGAAAGGAGTGACCATACACTCTGATAGGGTCTTTGTTTCTTGTTGAGAGGGGGCACATGTGTGCCATGGCACGTGTGGAGCTCAGAGGACAACTTACAGGAGATATTTCTTGGTGGCAGGTGTTTTTACCTACTAAGGTTTTTTGTTTATTTGTTTTTAGATAGGGTCTCTCTACAGAGCCCTGGCTGTCCAGAAACTCACTCTGTAGACCAGGCCGGTGTTGAACCCACAGACCTCTGCCTGCCTCTGCCTCCTGAGTGCTGGGATTAAAGGCGTGCGCCACCAAACCAGGGTCCACTAAACTCTCTTACCAGCCCTCTTTTAGTCTTTTCTTTTTTTTTTTTTTTTTAGTTTTTCGAGACAGGGTTTCTCTGTGGCTTTGGAGCCTGTCCTGGAACTAGCTCTGTAGACCAGGCTGGTCTGGAACTCACAGAGATCCGCCTGCCTCTGCCTCCTGAGTACTGGGATTAAAGGCGTGCACCACCATCGCCCCTCTTTTAGTCTTTTCTAGTTTCATTTTTAGTTTTTGTGTATGAATGTGTTGTCTGAATGTCTGTCCACCTCGTGCTAGCCTGGTGCCCTCAGAAGCCATAATAGAGTGACTAGCCCATACAAGGCAAGGTGGAGCCTGTTCCCAGAGCTGTGCTACCTCTGGAGCGTTCAGACACTCAGAGGCTGGTATGGTCACACAGGTCAAGTGGGCCTTGAGCCATGGCCAGGAATTAGGTGGGAAGTGGGAGGAACTACGGAGGGAAATTTGTGCATAGGTTTAAACAAACTGGAGAGTAAGTTTAGAAATGGTGTGGCGACACCTGTGATGAGATGACCAGGGTCCCTGGAATGGCTTTCCAGTGTTCTCTCCCATCTGCCGGCTTCTGGATCTGCCCTTGGGAGCTGTTAAAGCAAATGTCATTCTTTGCCCCTGTGAATCATTTACATATATTTCACTATGGGCCTCATACCTATAATCCCTTTGCTCAGGAGGTATAGGCAGGAGAACTAAGTTTAAGGCCAACCTGGGCTATAAAGCCAGATCCTGTGTCTCTACCCTCCTCAACTAAAAAGTAAAGGAAAAAGGGATGGTGGGGGAGGACCAGACACTTGTGTCTCCCATCTCTTCTTTTTTGCCCCCTGTACTGGGGCTAGACTGTGCCTGTGCCCTGCTACTGGGCTGCCTTCCTCTGCCGTCCATCATTCTGTCTCATGGTTCTGTTTACATCTTAGCTGGAAGTCAGGTTCTTCCCAGACTCTTAGTGGAGTACGGATGGTGTGTCTTAAAGTAGGATTAAAACATAGCCCCTTTAAGACAAGAATACAAAAATACTTTTGAAAATTGTTTTTAATGTGTGGTGGTATTTTGTTTGCATGTATGTGTGTGTACCACCTGTGTGCAGTGCCTGTGGAGGCCAGAAGAGGGCACCTGGAACTAGAAATAGAGACTGCCATGTAGATGCCACTGTGTGCTACTATGTAGGTGCTGGGAATTGAACTCTGGTCTCTAGAAGAGCAACCAATGCTCTCAAATACTGAGCTCCAACCCCCCGCAACCCTTAATATATTAGGAAGTAAAATGAGATTCTAGTACAGGATTTTTTTGTTTGTTTCATTTTTTGAGATGAGGAATATTACATTAGGTCTGGTCTCAAACTGACTATGAACCAAGGCTGGCCTTGAACTCCTGAGTGCTGTGTACCTCTGCACAGTTTGTGGTCTTTATAGGAATACCACAAAAGCTGATGTGTACTGTCTGCTCTAAGCTGCGTGTTCTTATTCATCTTCAGCAGCCTTTGAGGCTCTTCAGTTAGCTTCCCAGCCTTTATAGGAAACCGGGGCTCTAATGGCTCAAGTCATGTGGCTGCAGTCCCAGCATGGGATGTAGAGGCAGGTGGATTGCAGATTTGTGGCAGCCCGGGCTACACAGTGAGAGCTTGTTCCATAAGACAAAACAAAAACAAATGAAAAAGTCCATTCATTTGCCTGGACATGAATCTGGTTTAGCCAAGTCCAAGACTCACAGTGGAACTCTCCTGAGCCTTAGGAGTCCTGTGTGTTTATTATAGACAGCCTTAACCTGCCCTGGATGGTCAGCCTAGACCCTGAGGGGTCAAAAGGAACTTTTCAACTTTCACAATAGAATTGGGATGGGCAAAGCTAGCCCAGAACTCCCTCTAAGAAGGCCATCGCTCGAGAAAAGCAACCTCGGAGGAGTCTTTGGACAAATACAATCCACTGGACTAGGCAGCTGGGAGACAGCCAAGTAATGGGGACAAAGCTGGCCTATAATGCCAGCATGGAATGTCAAACAGTACAGTGACCTCATCTCAGTGCACAAACAAAACACCCTTGAGTACAGAAATGCCTCAACACAGGGTTTTCTATCTTCCTGGGGGACCACTGCATCTGGGGAGGCTTGGGAGCCTTGGGTGGCCGCCATATTGGAGTGGCCATAGTGTGATTGTGTTGTGTTGTGTTTTCCTCAGCAGCAAGCATCGAAAGTCGAGCAGGTGTACTTCACCGCTGCAGTGCCAGTAGCCAGTAGCACAGGTATGTCGTGCCACAGCGCTAAAGCCACGGTCTACGGGCTCTCTGTCCTTGCTTCAGTTTTTAAGGGTTTTTAAATCGTGAAACAGCCTTAAGTTGACATTACTTTGTTTACTGAGTAAACATGTTCTCATGGTGACCAGAAGCCAGTGTGCTGCTGGTGGGAATGTGGGCTCCGTTCCATTTCCCCAGTCCAAGTGCTTTCCCTGTGATGGAGCTTGAGCTTGTAAGTGGAACCAGGGGAAAACGGCTAAATCACAGCTAATGCTAAAGAGGGCAGTTGTTAATTCACGGGGCTCTTTTTTAATTACAGAGAGCAGCAGCGGCGGCATCTGGGTCAGGGACTTAGCAGAGCTGAAAGGTTCTTCATTTGAGTGCAGTTTCCTTTTTCTCTTTTGCTGGTACTGGGGCCTGAACCCAGCAGCTTATGCCTGCTAGTCAAACTTTCTACTGCTGAGCTGTATCCCTCGGCTAGATCTTTCATTTGGAACTTTTTCATGTATTAAACCCAGAACCAGGCATGGTGGTGCATGCCTGTCTTGCCAGCACTGTGGGGCTAAGGCAGGAGGATTGAGAGAATTCAGCTCCAGGTTAGCCTGGGTCGTGTAGTGAATTCTAGTCCGCTTTGGTAAAAACCTGCTGTGGCAGGTACACTGACATAATTAAGGGGGTGAAATGAGGGTAAAAGGAAGGAAAGATAAAAATTGGGACCTAACCAGGCCTTGGTGGCACACATCTTTAATCCCAGCACTCAGGAGGCAGAGGCAGGCGGATCTCTGTGAGTTCGAGGCCAGCCAGGGCTACAAAGAGAAACGGTTTCAAAAACAAAAACGTTGGGGCCCAAAGAGATTCATTGACTCTCCCAGGCTTGTAAGTGAACTTACAAGAGAGATCTCTGAGCACCTTGTTCCCACCCTATGTCTTCTTAATAGCCTTCAGTTCTGTTGTACACAGAACCTGGCTAAGTACAGAGCCTATGTGTGCATAGTACACATGAAAGTGAATTGAGAATGGATATAGAGCACATGTGTGCACAGTTCACATGAGCCAGGCGGTGGTAGCACACGCCTTTAATCCCAGCACTTGGGAAACAGAGACAGGAGGAGGATCTCTGGAGTTCCAGAACAGGCTCCAAAGCTACAGAGAAACCCTGTCTCGAAAAACCAAAACAAACAAAAAATACACGACCGTGAAATGAGAATGGATACAGAGCACATGTGTGCATAATACACATGAATGTGAACTGAGAACAGATGTGAATGTTGCACATACCAGGCTGGCTGTGGAAGAAAGCAGTTGACACCTCCCGTATGTCAGCCATGGTGCTAAGGAGCTGAGCAGGTCCTGTTCAGTGTGGAGAGGGTGCAGAAGGCAAGCAGCAATGCCGTGCATTTGCCTGGCACTCAGCACTGGTTGTCGCTGATCTGTCACAGCCTTCGGGGAATACCACCTGGGGCAGGAAGAAAGCAGAGAGTCAGCTGGACCTTGAAAGATGAGAATAATTCTTCCAAAGAACAGCCCTGCCAGTTTAGGCAAAGGGACGAGCCCAGAGTATGCCGACAAGAAGAGACGCATTTGCTATGGCCTACACAGATGGGCACCAGAGAGGGACAGGGTGCATCCTAGATTGTGTGGGTAGCTCTTCTAAGAAAGGAGCATCATAAAGGGATGGGGGAGCACCTGACAGGCTTTTTCCCTGAGGAAGAACCTGGTCCAATTTAAAGCATAGCAAAACCCAAAGTATGGCATCTTGCCTTCCTATCCTGCCTGGTCTTGGTAGCATTCAGTTCTTCCCAGTCCATACTCCCCCTCCCATCTTGCCTCTGCTCCTCTCTCGCCTCTCCCACAGGGAGCTCTGTCCAGCAGATCGGCCTCAGTGTTCCTGTGATCATCATCAAGCAAGAGGAGGCCTGTCAGTGTCAGTGTGCCTGCAGGGACTCTGCCAAGGAGCGGGCAGCCGGCCGGAGAAAGGGCTGTTCTTCCCCACCCCCTCCAGAGCTGAGCCCCCAGCCTCCTGATGGGCCCAACCTGCAGCTGCCACCCTAGACTTCTCCCTCACCCTTGCCCCCCTCATCCTCCTCTACCGGACCCTCCTCCTGTGAGCAAAGCAGACAGGCTGAGGTTCCTCAGACCCTCCGAAGTGTTAAGTGCCATGGACATGTCAGAGTTCCTGTCCCTCACAGCCTGGATGCCTCATCCAATCCAGTTCCGAGCGAAGCACTACTGCAGGGTAGAGGAGACGGCCTGGCCAGCAGCTGCTCGGGGGGACGGGCCTGTGCGCGCCCCTTCAGGAACAGGGTGAGCAGGAAGTAGCGGGTGTGATGCTGCCATCATGGGGTCAGAAATTGGAAGGATGAAGAAATCTGCCATCTGAAAGCCTCATCTTTCAGACATATTTTCTTTACTCATATCCCAGGAACATCCATTTTAAGGAACTGATCTTTGGAGGAAAACAAAAACAAAAAAAAGAAAAAAAAAGCTAAGTTATAAGTGGACTGTCTGGCTGCACTGTGTGTCACTTTTGCTTATTGTTCTGTGAACTTGGAAACTAAGGTTACGTGTGCATAAAAGTTGTAAATGAACGGGTGTGGTTTCCATCAATTTGGTGCTGCCCATCATTGCACTGGGGTCCTTGTGGATGGGCAGGAAGTGCAGTGTGCTGCGTGTTGCTCCTCCCTCTCTGTCTTTTTGAATCTGAGGTGACGTCTCTCTGGAGGGCCAGACCACTGTTCTGTGGAACCGGGCAGTGGCAAGGGCAGGTGAGAGTTAGTTGTGAGCTAGACAGGGTGAGATTGTTGTGTTGTTGGCGCTTTGTTTCTGTGGAGCTTGAAGGAGATGCAGAGGGGCCTGTCCTGTATCCTGCTCAGTCCAAGCGGGCAGCATCAGGCCCCTGGCCATGGTGATGCGGTGGTTCTGCAGGGCCCTGAGGCAATTTGACAGCTCTGTTGATCCTGGCTAGAGCTGGCTCTAGCAAAGCCAAGTCCTTGCCTTCTGGGCTCTTCCCATTTCTCCGTGCTTGTCAGGGCTAGAAGTTTGGACTGCATCGCTCCTAAGGAAGCGCCCCATTTTATTCAGAGTGAACGCAGGGCTGATGGCCAGTGGCCACCAGGGTCTGCCCGCTGCCTCAGAGCAGGAGGGCCGCTTCTCCCGAGAAGATACAGAGCTAAGGGGGTTGGATGAAGTAGCAGGTGGTACCCAGGTCTAGCCAGGCTTTTGTTTATCCCCTCCCATCTCCATCCTCACATCTCTAGATTTTGCATACAGCCTCACACAGTGCAAACAAGGATGTGATTTCTAAACAAAAAGGGATAAAAACAAAAACGATGATCTTCTACTCAGGGTAAAACAAAAATTCCCCTTCCACCAAAAAGCCTGAAGCTTGCAGTCAGTTACCTCATTTGGAATGTTTCATTAAGTTGTGTTCTAGGATTTTTTTATTAGTGTATAGAATTGTGTCCATCTACCTGCCTTTGGCTCCAGGTTCCTGCCTCTTCAAATATAGTACAATCCATAGGAAAACAGGAGTGTCTGTCCTTCAGCTTGGAAAGCTCAGTGGCCAGGTCGGGGTCTGGAGGTCTCAGCCTCCTTCCCGGAGCAAGGTCCAGGGCCCAGACAAGATGAGAGCTGTGTAGGTTGCCCTCCTGCAGCACCGTCAGGATGGTGTCCTTTCAGAAGGCCCTTGTCTAGAGGCAAGATATTTCGGGACAGCTGACCAAGGGAGTCATGGCAAGCGGTAAGGGGAAGACGGGTGCAGCCAACCAGGAAGCTTTGCGTCAGGCCCTTGATGTTTCTTTCTGACTTCTGAGGAGAGCAGTGAGAAGGGCGCCATGGGGTTCTGGTTCGCTGGGAGCTGACATAGGAAAGGAGCCCAGGGAGAATGTGTGGAAGGTTGTAATGGTTTAAATATGGCTTCTTGGTTAGCTCAGGCTGTACTCTTAGTGATCCTTTCCTGGGTCACTGGCTTTTCGCTTTCCACAGTTGCGGGTATGGAAGAAGCATTTAAGCAGTGTTAAGGCTGAAGTGTTTCCAGCTGCAAGAGTTAAGTATTTGTCTTTGTGGGTGGCTGTAAAACATAAGAGACTCTCAGCTCCAAATAGCTTTTGGAAATTGAGGAATGTGCTTAAAAACCAGTAGTTGTGCAGGGCCAGGTGTATTCTGCGGGCTAGCCAGCCTTCCCTGACAGGCCGTGCCAGCTCTCCTCCCAGAGGCCCAGCCTCTAATGCCAAGAATCCTGGCTAGACTAGAGCCAGAAAGCCCCTTCCTGGAGAGTGGTTTCTCAGGGGAATGAACTTAGGGTAAGGCCAAACAGAGTGGATTCTGGCAGGTGGAGGTAAGCCTTTTTTTTCCTCTCATGGCAGCCTTCACCATTGTCATCCTGTAGAGCACACCTGGGCTACCACTAGCATCTCCAGTTTAGCCCCTTCCAAGACACTAGTCCACAACAAGGGTGGAGAGTGGACCTGATGGATTTAAGAGGTAGTCAGGTAATCTTGGTCCCGCCAAACTGCCTTATAAATGTGGTCCACAAAGGTGGCTCAGTTTTCTTGACAGGGTCTGGCCAACCTCCTGGGGCAGCACTAGTTTGGTGACTGAAGTTGTGCCATTTATTGGCTTACTCCAGTTTAGAAGATCATTGGTACAGCGCTAAGGAGAGGCCTTGAGATGTGGGGACCTCTCTAGGTAGAAGGCAAGGGGGCTTCCCTTCACTTCCAGAGAGTCAATACATGGGAAAAGGTGTTTTTCCAAGTCAGGGCAATGGACTGATGGGGTAATGAAGGTAGATGAGGTTTTCCTGAGGCTTTGTATGATGCTGAATGTGTCCAGAGGGACAAATTTGCAGAACCTCATATTGGTATATTAAAGAAATAATAAAATAAAAAAGCACTTTAGGTTACTTTATCTTTAACCCAATTGCTGCAATTTCTGTTGTGTATGTATATATATATATATATATACATATATATATACTTCCCACAAAGTTTTATTTTTTGCTCATAATAAAAAGTTGAGGTGTGAAAAGAAAAGCACTTACTTCGGTGCAATATATGCGTAGCTTGACAGTTGTTATCCCATGTGGCCCTGGCCCAGCCTGTTTTTCCGTCAGCCCTGTGCTGAAGCTGTCCATAGGGAAACACTTCTGCATCTCAGCAGCTGCTCAATCTATGCAAGCCTATGTGAGTCCCGGGCGCCCCCCTCAGGCCCTCCGCGGAACTGCTGCAGCTGTTTTCTTCTGACTGTTGAGCCCCCTTTCTACCACTTCTTGGTCCCCCTGCTGTCCTTCCCCTCTTCACCATGACAAAATGATTCCTGACAGGAACAGGTTGTTCCCAGGTAAAGACCCGCACCTTCTAGACTTCCATATCTGTAATCACATCCATTGAAGGTAACGGCTTCTCCAGTGTCACTGAAACTATTGACTGTGGAACTGCACCGCTATTGCTCGTTTACAGCTTTTTTTTCTACACCCCCAATCAGAAATATGTTGGAAGAAAGGAATGGGCAATACAAGCCATTTCTGTACTGTCCTCTGCACTACCTGAGTTGGCTCAAAGCAGACTGCGGGCTTCCTCAAATCCCCTACTCGTCTCCTTCACGGGCCCCTCCTCATCTTAAATCCCCAGCTGGAGAGAGGCGTTTTAAAACCCTTCAGCCAGAGCAAGATTTCCCTGCAGTCTGCAAGCGGGTCTGCTGTGACATAGCTGGGAAATCGTCCATCTCCTATTTGGGGTGGAAGGCGTTCAATCACAAAGCCAGATAATACATATTTCTGATTGGTCAATCTGTTTGGCCTGTTTCTGGAATATTCTTGGGGCAAAGATAAAAGGGTCTTGTTTCTTATGCCCCTGCTCTTGGGAGGTTGGTGATTAGCCTGGGCATTTCTCACTGTTACTCCTGGTGGCGAGAGGGCTTCTCGGTCTGCACTGAAAACACGAGTTATTGCATCTGTCAAGGGATATTATAGTACACGTGGGGTTTAAAAACCATGCATTGTTCCTTTGGTGGTGGCCTACTGGGCCAAAAATAAGTGATAATGTCACGTCGCTTTCTCAACAATGCAGTTTCTACTTTTTTTACAGGAAATTTTTTCGTAAAACTTTTTTCCACCAAAACCTAGGGTGTTTTTGCAATATCTGCATTGCCCTCGTGGTGCCAAGTCAGAGGCTCGTCTGTCCTGGCCTCGTGTGTTCTCAGGCCTCCCAAGGGCTGTTAGATTCAACAGTCTGCATCTTTTGTTGTGCTTTGGAGAAAATGTCACTGAGGTTGGAGTTGCAGGCAACTATTCCCTGTTCCTGTGAACTCACCCTAGTTCCAATTCGGGGAGGGTGGCTGGAAACAGGCTTTTCTGGCTCAGACCTAGCCCGAAAAGGCCACAAATTCTCTTTTCTAACACACACTAAATCATTGGCCAGTGGTCTTGGTGACAAGTTTTTAAGTCCCAAATACTTTTATTTGGATTATATAAAAGTATCAAATTTATTTTAAATGTAAAACATGGGAACAATGGACTTCCACTGAGCGATATGAAAACGTTACAGGTTCAGTACTTCCAAAGGAAGAAACTTCCAAACCCAAAAAAGAAATACGAATTTGTATTTTTGAAGAATGTGAAATAATGGTGTTTGCTTAATTGCTCATTTTGTATAAACTTAATATTGTACTTTAAAATATCTGCTATGAAGTGAAAATTTAACTTTTTGGAATTGAAAAAGCAATATTAAATACTAATGAAATCTTAATTAAATGCTTATTTAAATCTGGTAGTACCTGTGGCATTACTTCCCATCCCTGTCCCTGGGTGACATTCTCAACCCCACTCCCCACTGCCCAGCCATCAAGTCTTGGAGGGGGGACAGAAAGGAAAGGCCGGTCACCAGGAGTCTGCAGGTTTCCTTTTAATCAATACTCTGCTGAAGTGTTTTATGGGGCCGGGAGCCTCCAAAGCATGAAATGAACATGTAATACCACCTGGAACCCCCAAAGCAGGCCAGACCACTCTGGCCAGCACTGCTGGCCTGCCGGAGTCCGAGTACTCCAGACTGGATATTCGCTGGCTACATTTCAAAACACAGTCCTGCCTTCAGCCAGGACGACGAGGAGTGAACCCAGCTGCTAGTAGAGTTGCCACCCCAGGCGGAGGGCCAAGTACCAGCAACTGCCAGTGAAGACTGACCCCTTTAGTGAAGAGAGTTGGTCAGAGTCCAGCCACCGGCCCTGGAAAGGGACAGAAGTCAGGGTGCCCGGCTAGGAAATAGTCAAGGCTCCGCAGCTCCGTCGCCAGCATCCTTTGGAAGGCCACCTCTGGCGGATACAGCTGACTGGGGCGACGCACCGGACTTGGCTGAACCGTTCTAGTTGAGACAGAAAAGGGGGGAAATGAGCCTGGGAGGAAAGGCCTTAGGTTAGGCCCCGCAAGGATAAGGCCACCTGGCATCTCGACAATACCGTACTTTTTCAAAACCTCACCCAGATCAAAGGAGGTTAAGTGTGGAGCGCTGGGGATGCGCTTCCACCCTCCTCCTCTGGGACGGGGGCGAGCTTGGTCAGTGTAGTCAGTGAGGAGATCCCACCTCCCCAGGCCCAGCCCGGAATGGGCACTGACCCCGCCACCAGCCGGCTCCGGACGCCGGCGGCCCAGCTGCCGGAGCATCTCCTCGCAGGCGGCGATGGTGTCCAGGAGCTGCCGCTGCCGCTGCTCCACGGCGTCCAGCAGCTGCTGGGCGCGCTCATCCCGGGGCGGCTGCGGGGGTGGCCTCCCGCCGAGCCCCAGCCCCGCCTTCCCGCGGTCCACGCCGGCAGCCTCCCTGCCCGGGAGAGAGACGGCGTCAGGGCCGGCGCAGGGCGGCGCGAGATCGCGGCCCCAGCCCCCGCCCCGCGGGCCCGCTCTCACCCCCGTGACCAGCCTGCGCCCGGGCCCCACTCCATCGCAGCCCGACCACCCCCCCCTGCCGACCGCCCCCGCCCCGGCGCCGCGCGAGGGCTCAGCTAAGCTGCGCCCCGCCCCGTCCCCACCGGTCTCCTTCAAGTCGCCTGGGGGTCGCGGTCCCTTTAAGCTGCCCGACGCGGAGGCGGGGCCGAGGCTCGGGGGCCGGAAGTTGGGCGCGTGCGTCACTTCCTCCAGGAAGTGGGTCTGGGCGGATGTCTACTGCGCGTCCGTGTGCGGGGCTGAGGGCCGCGGTGGCGGCCGGCATGGGGCTGAGCGACGGGCCAGCGGGCTCTGGCCGCAGCTGCCGCCTTCTACGCCCGCCCACGCCGGCTCCGGCGGTGCCGGGGGCCCGGCTGTTGCGGCTTCCGGAGAGCGGGGCCGTGCAGGCCGCAAGCCCCGAGCGCTCCGGTTGGACCGAGGCGCTGCGGGCCGCCGTGGCCGAGCTGCGCGCCGGCGCCGTGGTGGCGGTCCCAACTGACACGCTGTATGGTCTGGCCTGCTCGGCGAGCTGCTCGGCGGCCCTGGGCTGCGTCTATCGCCTCAAGGGCCGCAGCGAGGCCAAGCCGCTGGCCGTGTGCCTGGGCCGCGTGGCCGACGTCTACAGGTGAGGCCGCCCCGACCCGGCCCCACTGGAGGCGGCACCGCGGGAGGGGTTTCCGGTGACAGGCTTGGGAGACTGAGGCGCCGTGCGCGGGAGGGGCTTGTCCTGGCTCACCAAGGAATCCGGAACTGGAAATGTGTTGGGAGCGCTTAACGCGTGCCAGGCTCCGCAGTCGACAGCGCGCTGATCGCGGCGCACAACTGGGCGAGCATGGCACTGTTCCCTCGGTGCCCTTGTGATGTACGAGGGAGAGTCCCGCGGGAAGAAGGAATCGCCGCCACAGTTTGAGAGTATGAGGATAAAATAGTTGGAGCTTCTGTCCAACGTGATGTCACGGCGCTGTGGGCATTGTCGCCGAGATAGGCGTGTGGACTTTAAGCCCGGGATACTTCTCTGGCGTTCTGCCTTGTGCCAGAGCTCTGAGGAAGTAGGGGGGCAGGCAGATCTCATTGTACAGGAGCCCTTTCCCGCATCTGCTTTCAGTCCAGTAGAGGTCCATCCCGGTGATCTGGAGTGGGTTTGTGCTCTTTTGCCTCCAGGTACTGCCAGGTGAGGGTACCCAAGGAGCTCCTGGAGGACCTGTTGCCAGGACCAGTGACCTTGGTGATGCAGCGCTCTGGGGAGCTCAACAAAGACCTGAACCCCTTTACCCCTGTGAGTCATAGTCGCTTTTCCTGTGATCTGACTCAGACGCCTGCAGGCCCCTGAAGCCTTCCTCACGCTCCCTTCTCTTGCTTTACAGCTGGTTGGCATCCGGATCCCTAACCACGCCTTCATGCAGGACTTGGCCCAAATGTTTGGGGGACCAATTGCACTCACCAGTGCCAACCTGAGCTCCCAAGCCAGTTCTCTGAGTGTTGAGGTGAGAATTGGCCCCAGTGGGCTAAACTGCTGTTTCCTCAGAACCAGTAAGACTGCACTCGGATTGCATGGCCGAAATTGGGCCTTTGGTGCAACAATAAGAAGGCTACCCATGTGGTATGGTTTAGGGAGGACATCCAGATGAAAGAATATTGGAAGGGCCAGGTGGTGCACACTTGTAGTGCCAGCACCAAGGCCAAGGCAAGAAAATCTTTTTGTTTTTGTTGTGTTTCGTGATAGAAGCTGTCCTCGAACTCGGGCTTTGCCTGCTTCTGCTGGTATCAAAGGCATGCACCGCCACTACCTGTGTAGATGAAGACTACTTTTGTTTTATGGCCACCCAGACCCGGATAATCACACAGAAACTATTATAACACTGTTCGGCCAACGGCTCAGGCGTATTCCTAGTTAGCTCTTGCATCTTAAAATTAACCTTGTATTACCACGTGGCTGTGATGTCACCTCATTTTCTACATGTCTTGTTTCCTCCGGGACTGGTCGGCATCTCCCTGACTCAGCCTTCTTTCTCCCTGCATTCAGTTTAGTTTTTCTGCCCAGCTATATTATGCCCTGCCATAGGCCAAAGCAGCTTCTTTATTAATCATTGGTAATAAAACATATTCACAGCATACAGAGGGGAATCCCGTATCACTTTTTGAATTTTTAATGATTTCTTTTATATGCATTGGTGTTTTGCCTGCATGTATGTCTGTGTGAAGATGTCAGATTGGAACTGGAGTTACAGACAGTTGTGAACTATCTTGTGGGTGCTGGGAATTGAACCGTGGTCCTCTGGAAGAACAGCCAGTGCTCTTAACTGCTGAGCCATCTCTCCAGCCCCCCAAAACCTTTTTTTTTTTATTAAAGGCATTGAAACATTCTATCTTGAGAGGCCAGGGAAGAACAGATGTACTCCTGTGTCTATAATAATAGAAAAGATGCTAGGGGATGGTAACTCACACCTTTAATCCCAGCACTTGGGAGACAGAGGCAGGTAGGTGTATTTCTTTGAGTTCAAGACCAACCTGGTCTACAGAGCAAGTTCTAGAACTTCATAGAGAAACCCTGTCTCAAAAAACAAAAGTAGAAAAGGTTATAGGAAGACAGCCTTGTGCGGGAGGAGTTGTCAGACACTCGACAGCAGTGCTGGGGGCTCTGAAACATTGTTCTCTGTCACGGCCACTAAATGACAGTCTTTTTGCCAGTTCTTTTCAGAGTGGGACAGTGTTTTTAAGACAGGGTCTTACTATGTAGCCCTTGAACTCCTTATATAGAACCGCTGACTTTGCTGCCTTTGCTTCCCAAGTGTTGGAATTAAAGGCTTAGGGCAGGGTCTTACAACTGTGGCTCGTGCTGCCATTGAACTCAGGACCCTCAGGCCTCCTCATTTTGGAATCTATGCCAGCACACCTGGACTCACCTAATACCTACTGTCCTATCTCTACTTGCCAGGTAGGCCTAAGATAAGATCATCTTAATCCTGTCTTGGCTATGTGGTTTAGAACAAATGAGCACAAAGAAGCTTTGCTCTGTTTTTACAGCCTCTAAGTTAGGTGCAGTTAAGTGATGGGGGACTTGGAAATGCAGTTCTACTTTATTTGCTCTTGGTATCTGTACAGTTAGGGAGCCAGATGGGGATGCTTCCAGAGGAGAGGGTGGTTCTTACCTTTCACCAACCCTGGGCTAGCACAGTCATTGTTGGTTTATAACTGGTATTTATGATTGCCCTATCATCAAGACCCAGGCCTAACTACAGTAGAGACTCTTCACTGGGGGCAGAAAGACTCCAGCTCATTTAATAGCACGGCCCAAGAACTGAGTGCTGGTGACATGGGTTTGCAGAGTCCACCCTGTTTTCTTCTTCATGCTCTGAGCTGATTGACTTCTGTTGAGGTCCAGGATCTGGCTGCTAGAGCTGGAAAGACCATTGATAGTCACCTCGGCTGGCTCTCACTTTAGGAATCTAGATGAAATGATTTCATGTATCATACAGATATGATGGAAAGTCCAAGGTTAAAGCCCACATCTCTAGGCTCAAACCCAGCATACCACTTATTGGACCTAAGCCTCTACAGCCTCTGTAGTACTGGGATTTCCTTTTGGTACATTAAGATTCTTTTTATGTAAGGTGTAACTTGTAAGGGCCTTGCAGACTGGATGCTAATTGTGCCCTTGACATAGCTAAGCATAATTAAGAGCTTTCTCCTCTGAGCCATGAATGCAGGATGACAATATGGCCATGCCCTTCTTTTCAGGAGTTCCAAGACCTCTGGCCTCATTTGTCCCTGGTCATTGATGGGGGACCAATTGGAGATAGTCAGAGCCCTGAGTGCCGCCTCGGCTCTACTGTGGTTGACTTATCTGTGCCTGGAAAGTTTACCATTATTCGCCCGGGCTGGTAAGGCTCTTTCCTGTGCCACAGGGGTTTGTGAAGGAAGTTGGAGAAAGAGGAGCTTTAATGTACCGAGTTGATTCCCAGCTTGCATTGTTTGGGGGCGGAGAGGCAGTGAGGAGGCTAGGACTAAGTTTGCTGCTATGGCGGGCTGTTTAGAGTTCAAGTTTGATGAACGGGGCATAGAACAGTAATCTTTATTGGCTACTCTTCAGACTGGTGGGCTCAGTGCTGTGAGAAGTCAGACTGTAACTGCCTTCTGTGTCTTCCTCAGTGCTCTGGAAAACACTACAACCATCCTCCAACAGAAATATGGGCTGCTCCCTTCACAGGGGTCCTGCTCATGAAGATTGGGAAGATCCAAGGATCATGCTGGATACTGTGTGTCTGCTAACTGGTTAGCAAGGCCTCATTGGCAGAGGCTCCTGGAGCTACACATGTAGCCTGGCTGTTTAGGGAACATCTCTCTCTGAACACTGTAGGCCAGAAGCTGCAGGTTGAGCCTTGTAGGTTCTTATATCAACCAAAAATTGAACAAAGGTAAGAACATTCTTAGAAGCCTGGCAGTGGTGGCACATGCCTTTAATCCCAGCACTTGGGAGGCAGAGGCAGGCGGATCTCTGTGAGTTCGAGGCCAGCCTGGTCTACAAGAGCTAGTTCCAGGACAGGCTCCAAAGGTATAGAGAAACCCTGTCTCAGGGGGAAAAAAATAAAAAAATAAAAAAAAAATTGTTAGATCGGCCTTACTATTTTGAGATTTTTAAAAGTCAAAAGTAAATTGAGTACAGAATTAGAATGTATTAAGAGCTTGTTTCTGGTGACAGTGGCACTTCATGTCTAGCCAGCTAGAAGCACTAGTGTGTTCTAGAAGTCTCAGGACCAATGCAGGAAAGTCCAAGAGCCCAAGACAGCTTTCCTGGGTACCAGAGAGATCATTTTAGGGAAACTATCTTGGGGGGGTCCCAAGTGAAATAATACTGGAAAATAAAATCTTGACTGTTCAGCCAGTGACTTTCTTATTTATTGATAAAATAAATTATATAGTTCTGTGTATAATTTATTTAACTTCATTGTTTACTCAGAAGTTTTATCTTTGTTCACATGTGCCAAGTATTCTGCGTACATAATTATTTTTGAGTATTTAAGCTGTATTTTTCTTTATTAAAAAATGCTGCTACAAACAGTTGTAAATGGTTTATTTTTCTTTTGAGCTATTTCCTTTGGGGTAGGATTTCTAGGTCAAGGTGTATATGTGCATTATGGCTGTTGATGTAGATTAGCCTTCAGAAGATCTGTGTCAACTTTCATTGAAGATGCCAGCCCCTTCCTGCTTGCCTTACTGTGTCCAAGCTGTGTATGTATGAAATGAAATTAGCACTGGTAAAAATCCAGCCCTCTCAACTAAGCTACAGTCCAGGTGACCAGCCCTGCTCATCTCTCAGTAAATGGACTGGTTGTCCTCGAAATGACCTGTATTCCACTTCATCTCCTCTGCTGCTTCCTCTTCCCAGAGTCATGGCTCAGCCTTAGCCTCTAAACCAGTACAGTAGTTTCCAGTGAACACCTCAAGTGTATTTGAGAACCTTGCTGAAAAATATTCCATTGCATGTACTTTAACAAGGATCCTTGCAATTAACATTAGTTTGTTTATAAATAAGTACTGGCTTGCTAACTTCCTTCTAGAAATCATATGAACTAGTCATTTAAGCAAGCCCATCTCCATTGTGCTAAAACTAGCCAGCCCAGACATACACTAATTTGTCACAGTCTGACCTAGAGGGCAGCAAGAGGAACGTGGACTGGCAAACACTACTTCATGTTTAATACAAATTGTAGTAGCACTGAGTGGCCTTAATGTGTGGCCTCCCCAGCCTAGATAGCCAGAGGGAGGGAGGGACCTAGTCCTCTGCGGCTCTATGTTCATCAGGAGAGGCTCTGAAGCAGAGCTATTTTCTTGGAGGAAAATAGTTGAACTTCCAGGCCTGGGTGTAGCTACAAAGAGCAAAACAGCCAGGGTGCTAGCTGCGTAGCTACACCAAAAGTGAGCTCCTGGAAGCTCCAGAAGGGAACGCTGACCAAATTTCCCAGCACCTGACCATAAGATGCTTAGTAATGAGTGGGTGCTCAGTGTTTCCTGGTAAAGGGTCACAGAAATGGACTGGAAAGACCTTAAAGTCCCCTTCTGAAGTCAAATACCGTTCCCTGTATTCAGCAGAAAAAGAAAGGTGCCTGAGGAGATGTAGGCTGTCCAAAGGAAGCAGGGGCATGCTAGCTCAGAACCCTGAGACCCTTTTAAGCACAGTGGCTGGCAACTACACTACAACCTGCCACAGCCGAAAGAAAGCTAAATGACGTGGAGCTGCCCTGAGCCATGTGCCGCTTCCTGCCAGCCTCCTTCATCAAGCCTTGCTTCCCTTCGCCCCAGCACCACCAGTCCAAGGGCCGGGCTTTGTTGTACATGAGCTAGCTGGCCCATCCACAAGCACCCACTGGCTACATGCTATACCCACTAGCATGTGCCTATTCCTCATCTGAACCAGCTTGGTGACCTAATGAGGTTTGAGTAGTAGCCCCTCACATCAGCCACTGCTCCTTTTCCTTGATGAAGTGCTCTGCCCAGCGGCGGGTCAGCTCCAGGTACAGGCTGGGCTGGTGGGGCAGGTAGTCCAGATACAGACGAGTTGGCGTCTTCTTGGGAACAGCCTTCTCGATCTGTGTACCCTCGTGCCACTCATTGAAAGAGGTGATGGAGACAATCTCGGGCCTCACAGTCAGGGCCGCCTGCAGGGCTGTCTCGTAGTACTTGCCATTGACCCTATTGCGAGTATTGTGGTTGTTCCAGGGCCGGATGCTGGTGTCGATGTACCCAGGCCCCACGCTAGGAATGAACATCAGGTTGTTGGTATCACAGAAGTTCTTCACAGCCTTCCAGTTCTGATGGGAGGAGCCGAAGGAGAAGCCATTGGAGGCAAAGTAAGTGTACATCCCATCAAATCCCGCGGCAAGGATGTCATGGGTGTGGCCCTCCTCCACCAGCAGCGCTATAAAGACCCCATCATAGGGGGTGTTGCGGATCGAGTGGGGCCCGTTTTGTGTCAGGAGGTGGGCCCAGGCCTCAGGGGATGTCAGGTAGGAGTCGTAGATATAAAAGAGTGGGAGGCTCTTGCCCATGCTGGTCTTGTAACGGTAAAATGCACCATGGGAGCCATACCTGAGGAGCAGGAGGGAGAGGCTTGAGTTAGTTGGTGGTGAGAAGCCAGCACAGCTGAGAGATCAGCCACAGGGTTGATCTCTTCTGTGCTCACAGCAGTCTAGGATTCAGGTTACACGTTCTGCACATGCCTCCAAGGATTAACCTGCTTCTCTTCCTGCCCTCCCTGCCTGTCATCCCTCAGCCTCTTCTTCCAAGCCAGGCCTCCACATCTTCGTCTGGGTGTGGCAGCAATGGTGTCTAGACTTCCATTCCTGCCCCCCATAGGATCTGATCTGATCGCTCCTTCCTGTACCTGTAAGGATGCCCCTGTGTGATCTGAACTTGCCTATTTTCAGACTTCACTCCCTAACTGGCCTTTCTATCATCAATCTTTATGTGACCTTGTCCCATCTTAGAACATTCCATCTGTGTTGTAGGAGGCCACTTGTTCATCTTAGCTGCCCAGACTCAAAATAACCACACAGAAACTATTAATTAAATCACTGCTTGGACCATTAACTCTAGCTTTTTATTGACTAACTCTTATATCTTAATTTAACCCATTTCTAGTAATCTTTGTATTGATTGCCACATGGATGTGGCTTACCGGGTAAAGTTCCCTCTGGCGTCTATCTCTCCAGCGGGGCTACATGGCTTCTCCCTGACTCTGACTTCTTTCTCCCAGCATTCAGTTTACCTAAGTTCTGCCTTGTGCAGGCCTAAGACAGTTCCTTTATTAACAAATAGTATTCACAGCATGCAGAGGGAATCCCACATCACATCTGCCAGTTCTCGCTCTGCCTTGATTCTTCCCCTTTCTCCAGATCTTTGCAGAGCTACTTACTATTATTCTTCTATTATTTGAGACAGGGTCTCACTATATGGCCTGAAGCTCAGTAAGTAGACCAGGTTAGCCTTGAATTAAAGGCATGCACCAGCATGCCCAGCCAGAGCTGACTTACTTTAAAAAACATTGTGTAGGCAGGGATTAGTGATGGGTCTGGGAAGAGTTAGGAAGAGGAGTAGGAACAGTGAATATGATTTTTTAAATATACTTTTTTAAAAGAACGATTTGCTGAGGAGATGGCTCAGACGTTAAAAGCAATTGCTGTTCTTCCAGAGGACCTGAGTTCTGTTCCTAGCATCTACATTAGGCAACTTATAACATGCCTGTAACTCCAGCTTCCTCTTCTGGCCTCTGGGCACACACAGACACACACATACATATAAATAAACAAAACCTTTAAAAAAAAAAAAAAGCTTGTCTTGAACCCAGGGCCCTAGGCATAATGGTGCATGTGTGTAGTCCCAGCACTTGAGAGACTAAGGTCAACAGACTAGGAGTTCAGGTTCACGCTCAGTTACTTAAAGAGCTCAAGGAGCCTAAACTATATGAGACCCTGTCTTAAAAACAACAGAATTCTAAGCTCACTCATTCCTTTTAGCTTAACAACCATATTTATGGCTCAGTTCTGGAGGCTACAGAGTCCATGCTCAAAGTGCCTATCAAGTTTGGTTCTCAGTGAGAGCTCTCTGGGTTCACAGATGGCCACTAACTTGGTGTGCTCACAGGGAAAGCGAGAGTCAGCCTCTTCGGTGTCAGCACCCAGGACAAGTCCTCTCAGAGAAGCACCTATCACCACCCCTTCTAGAGTAAATTCCCTGAGGGCTGGGATGTAACATATGCTCATGCTCAGCATGCAAAGGACCCTGGGTTTCATCTCCAGAACCATAAAAGGAGGGGGGAAAACAAAACAGAAACAAACAAAAAACAACTTCTTGGGCACATTCTTAACACAAAACTCTGCTTAGCTTTTTATTTTGTTTTTTTTTTTCATACTACAGATTGCTGTGGTTTCCCACTTCTTGGTTGGGGAGTTCTGCTGCACCCCCAGCCGCTAGACTATAAGTGTCAAGTCAGAAACTTTGCTAAAGATAATAGCTGTATGTGAGGGCACTAAACAGTTTTTCAGTGAATACATATAAGCATGTCTGAAGCACCTCTGTACTAAAACAGGACTCAATTAGGGCTCCAGAGCTGAACCTGAAACTCAGTTGCCTGACTCCAAGCCCAGCACCCGGAATAACTGCTGGGAACACATGCACTCCACCCTTGCATTGCCTGACCTCCAGCCCTTCTAGCCCTGCTTCCGTCTCGATTCCCATCTTACGTGTCAATGATGTACTTGATGTTGTCATGAACAGTGACGTCGTCCCGGCCCTTGTAGGGTTGGATATGGAAGGCCACCTGCCACAAATGGAGTTTCAGATCAGGTGAATAGTCAGGAGCACGACACATACAGACATACAGATTAACGTCCCCCTCCCCTCCCCTCCCTGTCATGGCTTATAGGGAGGGGCTGAATTCCGGAAAGCCTGGCAAGGATGGGCACAATGAAGGCTGCCACTGTCCATCAGGTCAAAATAAAGGATGTGAGTTTCGTCCATGTCCCACATCAAGACATCTAGGAATCATTCTGAGGTCACTGCAGGATAGCACTCAGGTTTCTACCACTGTCAGCTCCAATCATGAGCACCAGGCGACATGTGCCTGCTCTCTGCCAGCAGAAAATGTGCCACGATCTGTTCAACCTTCCAGCGGTGACCTCAGGAAGGCGAGGGGGCTTCTCTGACATTTTTCTTCCTTCATTGCAGATGTAGGAACTGACTTCCTCTACGGATGTGTTTGGGGAGAATGGCTACACACATCTCCTTCCACTAGAAGGGGAAGCTGGAGTGGAGTGGAGAATTTTGTCTGCAGATCGTTTTGGCTCTGGCCTGCCTGGTATCCAGGATCAAGGGTCTTCCACTTAACCTATATGATTTAATAAAAGTGAAGGGACTGGAGTTATGGCTCTCTTCCGAAGGACCTGGGTAGCCAGCACCCTGTCAAGTTACCCACAACGAGTCCACGGAGATCCAATGCCTCTGGCCTCTGCAGGCATCCACACACTGATGAACACACACACAAAATTTTAAAAATATGAATAAATATATCTGTAGTCTTCCATTTGTCCCCTATTTGCTCAAAATTAAAAATGGTAACAGCTGACAAGGTGCAGCCTCTGCTATACCCTCTCCCAGTACCATATTTACATTTCTGTCGTCATCAGCCATCCAGCACTAACTCTGGCAGCAAAGGGGCATTCTCCATGACAGTGTGTGAAACCTTCTGAACTCACCTGGATGTTGTACTGATGGGCAGTGTCCAGAATGGCAGGTACCAGATCATCTGAGGGCTCCCCGTTATCATCAGCCATGCCAGGTGGATACCAGGAAAGAACCAAGACTCCTAAACAATACAAAAGCCCCTTCAATGGTCCACAGTGTGCCCACCCACCCCGCCCCCAGCAGCAGAAAGCATCTCTAACTACACGGTTCCTGAAAACCTCAAATCTCGAGCTAGGATCCTGCTAGGTTCCTGGGGCAGACCTGGGGCCCAGAGCTTAGCAGGTCTAGGAGCTGTCCGTGCCAGCAGTGCTGAAGTCCTGCAGCCAAGGGAACCGGCTGAGGAGAGCATCATCAAGTAGAAGGAGGAAGGGGAAAGGGTGGCAATGCCACACTCACCTGGAAACCACAACCCTACCTCTGGGATCCTACCTAAAGAAAATCCCTGTGAAGAAATCCTATTTCTGCTGCTTCCCATGGGAGAGAGCACTTGCCCTGAGTGACTGCCCATCTAGCAAGCCTAGACAGAATAGCCCACATCCCCACATCTTTGTGTATCCCCTTCTCAATCATTCATTCATTGATTCATTATTTTTAAGATACTGCCCCACTATGTAACCCTGACTGACTTCAAACTGGGAGTTCTTCTGTCTGGTCCTCCCAAGTGCAAGGCTTGCACCAGCCACTAAGCCTGGATCCAAACCTTGTCGCTCTCCCTTAACCCGTCTCGAGGTATAACCAAATGTATCATTAAAAGCTAGTGGCAAATTCAGTGGCAAAATCTAACCAAGGTGCGTCTCCCCACCCCAACGTAATGCAGAAGGTTCTCCAGGACCTCTGGCTGGGCGCTTGATGAAACCTGTGGTTGTCACGTGTTGTGCCCGCCCTCAGCCCTGATAAATCAACCATCTAGCTGTTGGACTCCCCTAAACCTGCTGTGAAAGCAGACCCTCCTCAAACTCTCCTTCCAGACTTGAGGGGCCAGGATCCCCACTTTTCTGAAACCTGGAGGTGCAACAATACTTAGGACTGTTCTTACTTAGGATAGCTCTAACACAGATGCGCGCACACCAACTCTACCCTACGGAAGGCCCCTGGGGTTGTTGAGGGTAGAAAGGCCCAGAAGGTACAGCACAAATTAGAGGAAGGGGAGGTGGTGTGTAGTAGGCCCGGGATAAAAGGCTACGAGGGAAAAGCTACGAGGTCAGGTTGGCGGGAGAATGGGGCCGGGGCCCCGCGGCCGGGCAGCAAAAGCTGAGGTGCAGGAAGGAAGGGCGAGGCTGGGGGGCAGACTGGCTAGGGGGACTCACCGATGGCGGCTTCTTTGAGCTGGGTCATGTGCTCTCGGAGCACATCGGGGTCCCGTGAGCTGTAGGGCCCCAACTCTGGGTAGAAGCTGGAGCCCAAGTCGTCTGGAGGGCTGTGGCGGCCACGCGGGTAGCTGGCCGAGATCTTGGGGTCCCAGTGCGGCACCATGACATGGTCCCAGTGAATGTAGTGGCCCTCGCGCCGCGGACTCCCGTACCACGAGTAATAGAAGGCGTGCAGATCGGAGTAAACGCGCAGGCTCTGCCGGGGCGCGGGATCGGCCTCGGCGGGGCCCAGCGAGGCTCGGGGAGCGGCGGAGCGCGGCGGGGGCGGCGGGGGCGGCGGAGCGGCGGGGGCGGCCGGGGCGCGGGCGGGCGCGGGATTCCCCTCCGGACGCCGCTCGAAGGGCGCTAGCTCCGGGCCCGGGCCCAGCGCGGGCAGCCCGTCCGGGGCCTTGAGCGTGCGCAGCCCCATGAGCGTGCCGAAGGCGAAGAGCAGCACCAGGAAGAGGGCGATGCAGGCGCGGCGCCGCCGCCGGGCCATGTCTTTGCCGCGGTGCCGGCCACCGCGCTACCGGCCCCGGAGCCGCGCCATCTCTCCCGCCCGCCCGCCCGCCCGCGCGTCCCAGGCCGCGGCCCGCAAGCGCCGCATGCCCAGGGCGGCTCCGCGCCTGTTCCCCGCAGTGCGGGCGGGCTCGGCACACACAGGATGCAGTGGCACCGACCAAATGCGAGCGAGTGGAGGGGGGACCAGGCAGAGGAACCCGAATTCAGCCCGGCGCCGGCGCAGAGTCCCGGGACGGGTGCACCTGGGGTGAGGGTGGGGTGCAGGACCGGATCTTCCCGGTAGAAGGCTGGGGAGGAGAGTGGGCAGCCAGGGTCTCTCAGCCTCCTTCCTGAGCCTTCCTTCCACTGACTTCTGTCACCATCACCGCAGTTGGCTCCAGATCCCCGGTACTAGAAGAGGGACGTTGGGCCACCCTGCAAACTCTGGCTGGAGCCAGAAGCCTAAGCGGGGACCGCCGCTTGCACTGGGGCCTATCTCCTGGGCCAAGCCTGGCTCTCCTGGGCTTCCTGCGCAATAGTACCGTCTATAGTCTGGGCCATCTGTGCACGGTCCCCTATTCTTCCTCAACTCTGCTTTCCAGTAGGCAGGCAGCGCCTCTTCCCTCCCGCACTGAGATTGAAGCCAGGGCCTTACACCCATGCTGGGCAAGAATCCCACAGCAGTGAGTTCAATCCTCTTTGCGGTCCTGTGTTTTGAGACTAAGTTGCCCAGGCTGACCTTGAACTCAGTCCACAGCCCAAGCAGACCTTGAGTTTGAAACATTGATCCTTCTACCTCAGCGCCCCAGTACTGAGGCCACAAGTGTGAGCCTGTCTTGTATTGTTTTTTTTTTTTTTTTTTTTTTCTGAGACAATGTAGCTGATGATGGCCTGAAATTTTCCGTATGGCCTTGGCTAGTCTTGAACTCAGGATATTTTTGTCTCCAGACTGCTGGTATTAGAGGCCTGAATCACCACACCTGGCTTTTTCATGGCCATAAAATAAACATCCGGAAGCTTTCTGTACACTTCCTACCACTTCTCATTGGCATAAGTTGTATCATGTTTATGTTGAAGTCAATCCATTGCTAAGGCCAATCAGAAATGTGAACAAAATCAAAAGGCCTCGAGAATATAACCTTGAGTGTATCTGTGGTATCTCCTTCCTGCCTTTGCAGAGCTGGGGTTCGTAAGAACCCCAGCAGGGCAGGTAGATTTGCTGTGGAGAAGGTAGGAACAAGTCAACCTTCTGACCCAGGAGTACGAGTCAACAGCAGAGGCAGAGGTGGCCTACTTACTGTGCTGACATACTATAAATATACATATATAATCAGCCACAAGTCCGGGTCTAGGTAACCCTAGAGAGCTGGTGGTCAGAGGTTTACCTTCCAGGTCCAAAGAAGTCCAAATGACTCCCAGGAAGGAGAAGAAAAACCTTCAAGAAAAGGTTTATACAGGGCTGGAGAGATAGCTTAGTGGTTAAGAGCACTGACTGCTTTTTCTAGAGGACCTGGGTTCAATTCCCAGAACCCACATGGCAGCTCACAACTGTCTATAACTCCCATTCCAGGGAGCCCGACACCCATGGAAAAAAACATCAATGCATAAAAAATAAAAAAAGAAAAGGCTTGTGCGTTCTGACATCACATTGAGGTCCTTGGAGGAAGCCCGTGTTTCCTGCGAGTCTGCTCCCACTGCCTTGAAACAGGAGTTATCAAAGCAGTCCTTGACTTTCAGATGTCAGGTGAAAGTGAACACAGCAAGACCGGGCAATTTCGATGCTTCAGTGGGTAGCGGTTTGCTGCCAAAGCCTGATGATCTGAGTTTGAACTCGGGGATCCACAAGGTAGAGGAAGAGAACCGAGTTCTACAAGTTACCCTTTATTCCACAATCATGTGTCTGTCCCTGCACACACTACCCCTATGACACACACATAAGTAGACAAATATATATTTTTTTAATTCAGCAAACAAGAGGCTGGAGAGATGGCTCAGAGGTTCAGAGCACTGCCTGCTCTTCCAGAGGTCCTGAGTTCAGGTCCCAGCAACCATATGGTGGCTCACAACCATCTGTAGTGGGATCTGGTGCCGGCTTCTGGAATGCAGAAAGAACATTGTATTCGTAATAAATAAATAAAATTTTTAAAAATTCGGCAAACAAAAGAGAGTAGCTAAAAGGACATGGAAACACTGTAGCCACTTACAGATAAAAATGCTGCATAGACGTGGTAGTGCGCAGCACACAGGAGGCTGAGACCGGAAGTTTAAGTTTGAGGCCAGCCTGAGATATCCAGTAAGAGCTAGGTTTTCTGTCCCGGAACTAGCTCTTGTAGACCAGGCTGGCCTCAAACTCACATAGATCCGCCTACCTCTACCTCCACCTCCCCAGTGCTGGGCTTCCTGCACCGCCACTGCCTGGCTGAAAGAGCTAGTTTTAAAGATCAAAACAAAACAAACAATCAAATGTTACCGTCTGCACAGTGGTTCTCAACCTGTGGGTTGCAACCCCTTTGAGGACTCCCTAGCAGACATTTACAATACAATTCATAATAGTAACAAAATTACAGTGATGGAGTAGCAATGAAATAATTTTTGTTGGGGGGGGTCACCACAGCACGAGGAACTGTATTAAAGAATCGCTGCATTAGGAAGGCTGAGAACCGCTGGTCGGCCAGGCTGGAGCACTGGTTGCTTCTCCAGAGGACCCGGGTTTACATGACAGCTCACACTGTCTGTATTTCCAATTCTAATAGATCTGACTTCCTCTTCTGGTCTTCTCAGACACCAAGCATGTATGTTGTGCACAGACACACATGCAGTCAAAACACCTCTATGCATGAATTTTGAAAATGTTGTCTAATGCCCCAAAGTTTTATATTTTTAAAGCAAGAACAGGTTACTATATAAGCGAGGGGAAATGTTTATAGACTGTATGAAATGGCTCTTGGAAAATAAAAACAATAGAACCCAACTTAAAGATTTATTTGTCTTTATTTTGTATGTGTTTTGCTTCCATTTTATGTGTGTGCAATGCCCAATAAGCCCAGAAGAGGGCGTTGGATCCCCTGGAACTGGAGTTGGATTTTTTTTTTTCTATATTATGTTACAGTATCAATTGCATAATGTTAAAAATTACAGATCAGGGCTTGTAAAATAGTAAAAACTCTTGCTGCCAATTCTAAAGACCTGAATTTAATCCCTAGAACCTATTGAGGACAGAAAGAGAGAACGCCAAAGCTGTCCTCTTACCTCCACATGCAAGTGCATGCTTGTGGCACACACACATCCAACACACATACACACACCCCCAACACACACACACCCAACACACATACACATACCCCCAACACACATACACACACCCCCAACACACATACACACACCCCCAACACACATACACCCCCAACACACATACACACACCCAACACACAAACACACATCCAACACACAAACACACACACACCCAACACACACACACACCCAACACACAAACACACACACACACCCAACACACACACATACACACATTTTTTGGATTTATTTATTTAACATAATTTCTTTATTAATTCTTTGGGAATTTCACATCATGCACCCCAATTCCATTCATCTCCCAATTCCCCCATATCTGCCCCTCATCTCTGCAGAGTCCTCCCAAAAGAAAAATTTTTACAAAATTAAAAAAAAAATTCAAACCGCCAGGCAGTGGTGGCACATGCCTTTAATCCCAGCACTCTGGAGACAAAGGCAGGTGGATCTCTGTAAATTTGAGGCCAGACTAGTCTACAGAGTGAGTTCTAGGACAGGATCCAGAACTACAGAGAAACCCTGTCTTGAAAATCCATAAACAAACAAACAAATAAATAAATAAAACCAAACTCTTTGCTCCTCCATCTTTCCCACCTCTCTGGCCCTAGTGGCATTGGCAGTGCCGTGAGTCCCATCAGTTTTACTTGCGGATGCTCATTGCAATGAGTCACGGGTCTGGTTCAAGGCCTCGGGCTTCTGGTCCACCATCATCACTGGGTCCTCACCAAAACTCCTCTCAAATATTCCCTTCAGCTGCCGCCCCGGTCCTGGAGAGCCTGTAGGTGTTGTTCCATAGGACCGGTCCCATCATGAGCTCCAGCTGGTCCTATATGGAGTCAATATTAGGGTGGACCAATCCAAGGTCTGGCTGTGAGCCTGGGTGAGCTGAGCTGGTTAGTCCTGGCCACTGGGACCACCCCCTCAGGCAAGAGGCAGAGCCAGCTTTTCTACAGCTCTCCCGTGAGAGTCAGGACCAGGACCCTGCTGTACTGTCCAGTGACAGACAAGGCCAGCTTTCCGAGGGCTGGCTCGGCATGGCCCTCTGATTTCACCACACATAGTCCCTGTGGCCCCCGGCCAACACACACATCTTAAAATAAAAGTTACAGGGCCAGAAGAGATGGCTCAACAGTTAGATCACTTCCTGCTCTTGCACAGTACCTGAGTTGGGTTCCCAGCATGCCCGGGATGCCTCCTGCCCATCCATCGCTAATTCCATTGTCAGTGGATCCGAACACCCTCTTTTGCACGCCATGGGCAACAGGCACAAATGTGGTGTACATACATCAATGCAGACAAAACACTCACAGATATAAATAAACCTAAAAGAAATTACTTTTTCATTTGCAGAACACCAGGACTGAAAGATTGTAGAGACCACCTGTAACCTCATGCTGGTCTTATTGGGGTCACATTCTGTTATATCCCCCAAGGCTTCTCAGCTGGGTTTGCAGAGCACCAAACAAAACCTGGTCACAATGGGGCGCTTCCCATCCTCCAATCCTGTCCCGCCTTCCGTGCAACTCCCAAGGGCTGACCCACTGCTGTCTGCTCTGGGTATTATTTCTTTCACTGCTGACCCAACGTCTCCACCTAAAACAAACCTAGAGAGGGAGATGTAACTCTGTGGTTAGAGAGTGTGCCTCATGCATGCGTGCATACACAGAGGCCCTAAATTCAATCCCCGGTACGGAGAAAACCAGGCATGGGTAGCACTTGCGT